AACACGCAATAAATAATGTCTGCAATTGCAATTGAGTGAGTGCTGATCACAGATTTCAATTTGTAGGAGTTGCAGTGGTTATGGAAGCAATAATCATGGCAGAAGTATGGGTAACCCGTATTAATGACTTTGATGCTAAGGTAGAAAACTCGGCAACCATAAAATGAAAAACTAGAAATAAAGTTCTAAAGAAAATATATATTAAATATTAAATGGTAAAACAAAACCTTCAATGGTTTTGATGTAACAACAGAGAGCGACACCATAAATACATAAATATAGATCGATTGAAATAAGGTCCGACATCAAATCTATCAGCTTTCAATGCTGCTGGATGATCACAAGGTTCAACCTGTCTTTAAAACTTCATAAATCACATTTTTCAAAACATAGACACTGGACTGAAACTTGAATACAATGAAAAGTTCAATAATATAATTATTGGTTTGAAATTTATTATCAAGTAAATTAATTTTATAAAAACATATATCTTTAAAATATAAATAATTTTTAAAGTAAATAATATATTTATAAATATTTAAATTATGTAAAATTTGATATATATAATTATAAAAAATTTAATAGTTATCTTAGTTAATTTATATTCTATAAAAAATTCTTAAATAATATAAATGTTTAAATTTAACACCGATAAATTATAATTCTACAAACAGATATATATATATATATATATATATATATATATATATATATATATTTCCACTCCTAAAATGAGCTGTTGTTTAAGTGAAAAAAAAAAAGATTAAAAAAATGAGAGTAATAATGTGATAGACAAAAAGGAAAAAAAGATAAAAAAGTAAATATATATAAAAGTGAATTTGTATATACAATTAGTCAACAAGTAAAAAAAATTCTATTTATTTATTTATCTGCTAAGCTCCAAACGAAGAGGAAAACTCAAAACCTCCTAACATGAATACATAGATATATACAAAATTGGAAAAAAAATACAATAAAATTTAGGTTATATATATATATATATATATATATATATATGATTTTTTTTTAATTAAAATCAGTTTTATTTTAATAATTTATATAGTAAAAGTTAATATTAAAAATGGGTGTATTAGTAAATTCTTATTAGTACCGAAATTTTGTGTAAAGAAATAAAAAGGAAAAGAAAAAGAGTGGATACTGAAATGTCTTGAGTTTCCGTTCCAAGAAATCAAGTAGAATTAGAGACATGGGAAATATATGATCAACTGTCTGTACAAGTACAGGTCTAATTGGCCGACAATGGAACTAGAGTGTTTGCTCGAGTTCAGCAAATTCTGACGGTTTCATTCCTCTAGTAGATCTTTCTCTTCGATTTGTCCAACATTAATATTTTCCTTATTAGATGGGTAAAATCATTTGTGTAATTATTTTAAAAGGGAAAACATCCATTTTCAACATATTGTATATGACTTTATACAGCTTCTTCTTGCAATATATCTTATATTTTAAACATTTCAGTTATGGTTTATCCAGCTAAACAGTTAGTTTTTTTTAGCTGCACTAAAGTTTAGGCAAGTGCCCCCCACACACATGTATGGTTAAAAAAAAAAAGAAAGAATAAGACATTGTATGAATATTTTTAAAATTTTCTCTCTATGTGTGATTAATAATGTTTAAATTATGAAGAAAATATACATAATTAAATTTAAAAGTATACATATTAAATAAAAATTAATCAAGACCATAAAAATATAATAAATAATTTTAAAAAATTAAACTCAAAATTAAAAAATAACGAATAACTTGTTGCATTTTTTAAGGAAGAGTGCATTAAATATAATTCATGTTTAGAAACAATTTTTTTAAATAATTTTTTATCCTTCAAAATTTGTCACAAGAAATTAGATAAATAAATAATAATTATAGTTTATAGAAAGAAGAAACTATTTAATTTAGATAAAAAGAATAAATTTTAAAATATGAAACAACATTAAAAAATAATTAATTTTAAAGTTTTTGAATTATATAAATATTATTTATAATTTCTATAGACGAAGCTATACGTCACAGGAGAATTTTTTTTAATAAAAAACTATCTCGCTTTGAGAACGAGGAGGGAAAATAAATAAATCACATTGATTGATGAAAAATATTAATGTTTGATATGGCATATAATTGCTTAAAATTTGTAAATTTGTCAAAATTTTTATTAACAGTTTAAATGTTTTATTTTTTCTCTCTGAAATAAATTATTTATTTTAAAATAATCAGATCTATTTTCTTATTTATAGGTGGTTAAAATAAAATATTTAATAGGACCAAATATAAACTTTTTAAAATACGAGAATGAACTTTTTGTGGTAAAATTTTCATATGATAATATCATGAGAGAGACAGAGAAAGTTTTGATCGAATGGCATTGGTTTAGCATTTCTGTGTCAGTTTCTGTATTTGATCACGTGACAAGAATTTATAGAAAAAATTTCAAACGGTAAAATGTATATATTTTCATATAAAATAATTAATCTTTCCTACACATACATACCAAATACTTATAACTTAACTACTTTGCATAAACATTGCATAAACATATCCTATAATTATATATTACATATATGATTTGTATTAAATTTTGTATATATAATTTAATGTGATTAAAAAATTTTATATAACAATTCATTTTATGATTAAATTATTTAATAAAAAATATTAAATAATATAAGATATAAGTGTAATTTAATTTATTTTATTTTTAAATTTTTTTTACAGTAAGATAAAAAATTATAAAAATATTTTAAAAAGTCTAAATAAAAACAATATAACTGAGTATGTTATGATTTTATTGAAAAGAAAGAGATAAAAAATAATAATTAGACGTATATTTGTAACTTTGTAATAATAATAATAAAAAGAAAGGCACTGTAAAGCAGTGGGGTAGGACAGCATAATATGTTTTTGAAGCAAAGACGTTAAAAGCGGAAAATGAACATTCCCTTACCAACTGCAAAGTCACTTGTCTCAGCAAAGAAAATACTACAAGAAGAATTTCCCTGATGGTAAATTATGTGTACCTTACAAAATTTTTAAGGGCCCAAAAAACACTTTTAACTAATAATACTTAGATATAGGTTAAAGTGATAATTTGTTTAATGATTAATTATATATAATAATATATATTATAACTTGTTACATATTTTTTTATTAGTATAGCTTTTTAAATATAATACTCATAAAAGAAATTTTAGGCTAAAACATATTTGCAGAGTGTTCTGGATTTTTGTTGACAACTCAAGCAAAATAGAATATTAGAATCTTTTAAAAAAATATATAAAATATAATAAATAAAATAAAAATATATATTAATAATTTTATTAAAATATTTTTTTTATTCAAACAACTTTTATGTTATAAACAACTACAAAAATACAAAAAATCATAAAAAATAGATTTTATAAATATTTTAAGATATAAAATTATTAATGATAACAACAATATCAATATTTTTTTAAAAATTTTTATCGATTAATAAAATTAAAAAATTATTCAACCGTTATTATGACATTAATGATTTTAGATAAATTTTAATTAAAATTAAAATTTTTCATGAATTTTAATGTTAAAACTAATAAAATTTTTAAATTAATTTTAAGTTTATAAAAGTAAAAAAATCGACAGGTACAAAAAATTAAAAAAAAAATTTATATTTTTTTTAACAGTAAATTGAAAGAGCTATAATTTTTTTTAAGTAAATTTTTTACTTTAAACCATCTTTTAAACTTGAACTCTATATGATGTACCTCTAACCTATCTATCCGAGGGCAAAGCCTGCGCCCACCATTAATTTGATGCAGCGTCTGTATTCTTTGCAAAGATCATGACCCACTTGCACCCTAAATGTTTATTTTTCGTCCTTTATCAACTCCTCTATTTTGTCTTATTACTCGTTTCTCAAACCTATATAAAATTTGGTAGATTGTGTCCTTAACGTCAAATTAATACAATTACCTTTTTTTTTATTTGATTTAATCTAAATTCAACCCTAAATATGGTAGATAAATTTATTATTAAAATTTTTTTATATACGGAGAGACTTGAATTCAAAACCTTAGCCTATCAACCTCCGTTACGATTCCCTTCTGGTCGTGATTCAATTAAGAGAAGTGAATACAAGCACGGCGGTGCGATGTGTTTTTTAAGTTGATAAGTGTAAATGAAAAGGCAAGGCTTTTCGCTTTCCCGGGGTTGGTCCTACAGTGCTTTTGATCGGTCCTTCCGACAGAATAACTTGAATGAGAAATCAGCCAAATGTACATTTTTACTATCATAAAATATTAATTATTATTTGAAGATTTATTTAATCAATAAGAAATATTAAATAAACTATAAATTTAATCATATCTATACATATTTTTTTTTTCTCATTTGTACATAATTAACATATTAAAGCATAATATTTTTAATTAAAATAATAGCAATAATGTCTTTTCAATAAGAAAAAATGGTTTAAATATTTTTTTTCTAAAAGAAACAATATCAATACTGTAATCTATTTGTTTTTGTCGTCAATAAAATTTACAAATTTTAGATAATTAATTTCAAGATCATTTTTGATATTTATGTAGATCTAAACTATATTTTAGGATAAAGCCTTCTAAATTAATTTTATTAATTTATTATAAACTTATATAAAATTTCTCTTTAAAATAATTTTTATCTAAACTTTATAAAAATAAATTTATAATCAGATAAATGGGTCTTTCTTTAAACAATATTTAATTAATATTATTTATCAAATAAAATTTTAATCCTAAAAGCAAACATTGTATCTATGTCAACGATGGAAATCCCTAGCTAGGTAACTTTCATTGGTATTGCGTTCATTTTTTCCCTCTTTATCTATTGAGATTATTGTAAGAATAAAACGTATACTTTCACATATGCTGTCTTTCTTGTACTGGTAAGAGCGTCCACACTTAAATATCTGCAAAGGTCTACACGAAAAGCGTGTATATATAAACCCCCGTCACATACCCCTCAGCTTAGCAACAACACTTGGAGTTGCGCGATCCTTTCAAATCCCAACCATAGCACCCTACGTGCACATTCATTCATTCTTCCCTAATAAAAAGAATCCACCTATATCTTTTTACACACATCAAGCAAAAAATAAACAAAAACTCAGACAGGGATTGGTTTCGAAAATCTGAAAACCATGTCGAACCTCGAACTTGAACCCTTCCACATGGCCATCTTAGCCATCATCCCTCTAATACTTCTCATGGATTTAGCATCTCGTATTCGTAGAAGACCACCATATCCACCAGGCCCGAAAGGGTTACCCATAATCGGGAACATGCTAATGATGGACCAGTTAACCCATCGAGGTCTCGCTAACCTTGCAAAACAATACGGTGGCGTATTCCACCTTCGCATGGGGTTCCTACATATGGTCGCAATCTCAGACCCAGACGCGGCTCGTCAAGTTCTCCAAGCCCAAGACAACATCTTCTCTAACCGACCAGCCACCATAGCCATTAGCTACCTCACTTACGACCGTGCTGACATGGCTTTCGCTCACTATGGCCCTTTTTGGCGCCAGATGCGAAAACTCTGCGTCATGAAGCTCTTCAGCCGCAAGCGTGCTGAGTCATGGCAATCTGTGAGAGACGAAGTCGACGCCGCCGTACGCACCGTCGCGGCCAACACCGGGAAGGGCCTGAACATCGGGGAACTAGTGTTTAACCTCACGAAGAACATAATCTATCGTGCGGCTTTTGGGTCGAGCTCGCAAGAAGGACAAGACGAGTTCATTGGGATATTGCAAGAGTTTTCCAAGTTGTTTGGAGCTTTTAACATCGCTGACTTTATACCTTACCTTGGGTGCGTTGACCCCCAAGGGTTGAACGCTAGGCTCGCTAAGGCGCGTCGTGCACTGGATAGTTTCATAGACAAAATCATCGATGAACATGTGGAGAAGAGGGGTGGTGAGGGTTATGAAGAAAGGGACATGGTGGATGAGTTGTTGGCTTTCTACAGCGAAGAGGCTACGTTGAATAATGAATCCGATGATCTGCAGAATTCCATCAAACTTACTAAGGATAATATCAAAGCTATCATTATGGTATGGGTTCATTTTCAAATATATTATATCTTATCAACCACCTTAAATTGATTTGTGAAACGTTTAGGCATATATTTGACTACTTGATCATGAGCACCGCTTCTGTCGCAAACCACCGAAGCACACAAATACAACACCCGTTAAATATTTCAATGATTATATAGGTGTCCACTATAAAAAAATAATTATACATAAACTCGGCTAAGTCTATAGATGAATACAGAAGTTAAATGATTTTCTTTGGAAACATTAAGATGTAGATATTTTTTTCATAAATGTTTATTGAAAAGTTTATTTAGTATGTATTACATGAAATACTTATTATATATATATATATATATATATATATATATGTCAGCCGTGTTATATCTTTTTCCGTAAAGTTTTAATTTGTCAAAACTTGATGTAAATTTCTAAGTTTGAACTTTTCTATTTAAGAATTTTTTAATTATATAAGCACATTCCACTGAAAATTCAGATATTTTAAAAACACTTACGTGATTAATTTTCTTTACTTATTAAACTGAGTTGAATTATTTTAAAAACATAAATTATTTAAATAATTACCATTAAAAAAATGTCCCTAAACCAATTATGATAACTTATGCTGATAAAAAAGTATTTAATTAAACGAAAATTTATCATAGATATTATTCTTATTGGCTAACTGAAGAGGAACAGATGAAGTAGATAAGTTTGAGAATATAAGATTTGGAAACATAAGCCAGCAAACATGCAGTGACCATCCCAATTAGTTCTTAGTGGGTTTGGGTAGGTGCCATTTCTCCGTCCATGTTTCTTAATTTGAATAAGTAGATTTTTGTTGCGAAAGATAAGTGCAAAAGGAATTGATATTGGTGACGATGACGTACGTTAATTGATACAGGACGTGATGTTTGGAGGGACGGAAACGGTGGCGTCAGCGATCGAGTGGGCCATGGCAGAACTTATGAGAAGCCCAGAAGATCAAAAGAGGGTCCAACAAGAGTTAGCAGAAGTAGTCGGCCTCGACCGTCGGGTCGAAGAGTCCGATTTCGAGAAACTCACTTACCTCAAATGTGCCCTCAAAGAGACGCTACGCCTCCACCCACCCATCCCACTCCTCCTCCACGAGACGGCGGAGGATGCGACGGTCTCCGGTTACTTCGTCCCGAAGAAGGCGCGCGTGATGATCAACGCGTGGGCCATTGGGAGGGACAAGAATAGCTGGGAGGAACCCGAAACCTTCAAGCCGTCCCGGTTCCTCAAACCGGGTGTGCCCGACTTCAAGGGGAGCAACTTTGAGTTCATTCCATTCGGGTCGGGTCGTAGGTCCTGCCCCGGGATGCAGCTTGGTCTTTACGCGCTTGAGTTGGCGGTGGCTCACCTCCTTCATTGCTTCACGTGGGAGTTACCCGATGGGATGAAACCCAGTGAGATGGACATGGGTGACGTGTTCGGACTCACCGCTCCAATGGCGACCCGACTCGTTGCCGTGCCAACCAAGCGCGTGGTGTGCCCTCTCTATTAGAAAACAAAAAATAAAATAAAATTACAATTGAATCCTTTTTCTTTTTCTTTTTGTATTTTCTTTTTATCCCCCAATTATACATAAACATAAATAATATAAGGAAAAAGTAAAGCATGCAATAAAAATGTGGGAGTATTTAGTTCTCTCTGCTTGAAAAAAAATCTTGATGTGAGCTTTTTAGTGCCCAAACAGTTATGTCAGTTGATGTATATTTTTTTCCCTTTTTGCGCACTTCCGTTTTGGTTCTCATATATAGTGAAATAAAAGTGAATCGACAATTAGAGTAGAGTGACTATGATGGCATTACAAATATTGTGGCAAATTAAGTTATTTTTGACTTCAAGGATGGTGAATGAAAGTGTTGTATATGGGGAATTTATTATTGTCATGAGGATTTGACATCAAATCACGTATTTATTTTGTCGTGGTAGTATTGTTTTCTAAGTAAGCGGATTCTAGAGGGAAAGAAGTGCAAATGAAGTTGGTGGTGACTTTGGTGTGTGAAATGAAAATCTAGCTATAAAAGGGGAAGCTAAAGAATACACAACGTTGTCATCGTGGGGTTGAATAGTCCTAATATTATATGATGATGTTTCAATGGTTTTGTTTCCCTGATTGAGTTTGAAAATGGCAATGCGGTGATTTTGGCACCCGTGCCTAAGGAAGTAAGAATGCTTACTAATCAATGCTGCTCCTAATGAAAAGGACCTTTCTACATGCATGTTTTGATGAATTTTTTTTCTTTTTTTTTGGGTATAAGAACAAATCTAGGGCGAAAAATGTTAAATTGTAAGCTTAAGGGTGGCTATGTGAGTCCACTTTTATGAGCATGATATGGACAAGTTTTTCGAACTTATCTTCAAATTATGTATTTAGATATACCGTGTTATCCGGAAGGGAAAAGTGGCGTGACTTGTTGTGTATACGAAAATACATAATATATATATATTACATGTGAATTGATTAAAGATGATGTAACGTGGAAAAGTATTTCAAAGCATACATTTAATAGCATCTAAGAGAAACAAAATGAAGAACGGAGGCTGGGGTGGAGTGTTCAGGTGAGAGTTGAAGGGAACCTGAGGCCTTTCTTTGTTTTGTATTAATCAAATTCAATATCAAAATGTAAACAGTAAAAGAGACCTTCCATTCGTGTCTCCTTCGCTGGGCCCTTCTTTTGTATTCATAAAAGCTAGTCAATTGAGGAGATCCACCGGGGTTGCAAAGCTTTACGACGTTCAACTACTTTGTCTACTTTGCAATGCCAACACTGACTATGCTTGTATTTAAGGTCAGTTTGTTTGACTATTTTGCGTTTTGCGTTTGAAAGAAGAAATTTTAGCATTCCTTTTGCTCAATGCTTGTTGGTCAGCGCGAACCCTCGTTGTTTTCAGACATTAAGTAGATCTCAATGAGTTCAATCAACATGCAATCATTTGTTAATATGTGTCTTGTTAAGGTGTAAAGTTGTTGACAAATGTTAGGAAACTCGTTAAAGAATTTAAAATAAAATATATTTTTTGTTTATAAAATCATTTAGCATATATTTAATTTGTGGTGGGGGTGGCATTGACGCTTATTTTATTCACCTTCCCAAGTTAATAGAAATGCCAATCTCTTACATTGTCCCTTGTCTTAACTCTTGCACCCCCTTTATGAAATTGCTTTAGCTTGAAATTTAATGATTTAGAAATGTGATAGTTATTTTCTCTTACATTCATTTTTTATTCTTTATTCTTTCTTTCTATCTCTCTCTCTCTTTTCTTTTTTTTATCACAACATCCATTACATCTCTTACTTTGTCCTTCTCTCTCTTCTATTTTTCCTATCTTCTCTTCTCACTGCTCACCCCAGATAGAAAGATTGTTACTACAATATATAGAAGGGACGAGTTAAAGGAGAAATGAAAAAGTGTTAAAATCACGAATGAAGCAATAAATATATTTGTCCATAAATAACTATATCTCATTAATAATGCACGAGTAAGCACATAACTGGGCCGCAATCATGTAATTGCAAATATCTTAATTATAACATGGACAAATTAAATTACAAAGGTTTAATCAGTAAAAGTCTGCACAGGTTAATCTAAACATTGATTAAGTAGCTTAAGTCATAGAACCTGATACATGTCTATGTTATATATTTCTAGTTTTATTTATAAAAAAAGGTGTTGATAAAAATTTAATAAAAATAGTTATATATATATTTATACTATATTTTAAAAGTATGCATACATGATTAAATTGGTGAATTATGTATTAAATAATAAATATATATCTATCGACGGAAATTGGTCTGAGTGACAAACGATTTAATATTCTTTAAATCTTACGTTTGAATCTTTGTGTATGAAAAAAATATTTAGTGGTAGAATCATTTATAACATCTAATTTTGTGACTCGGATCGAATCTGAATTAAATCGGATGAGAAAAAAATTATTTTTAATAAATAAAATTGAAAAATTACTTATTTTCACAATAGAAAAGTAATATTTTACACAACATAATTTGACATAAAATGAAAAATAAAATTACAATTAAATTATTGTGAATTTTTTTTTTCATTTTTTTTCTAACCTCAGTAGAGTTAAGGGAAGAAATATAAGAAAAACAATGGAAAAAAAATTAATTCTATTAGTTGAGTTGTGAAATGTTATGTGATATTATTATATACATTTATTTTTATCTTTCATTTATTGATTTTTCTTATATCCACGTCCTAGAAATACCAAAAATAAAATAAGTGCCTCCATGTATAAATTGCATAAAGAAGATTTGATCACCATGGTAACCAAAAAGAAATTTGATAACCATTAACTCAAAACGAGACAATAATGTCATCTCAAAGAGGACAACCCTAGTTTTTAATTTACTAGCTAGACAGACACATAGAAGACCAGCTCGTGGTCCCAAAACAAGGTCGTTTATGGATGGACACTTATAATGTCGTCCACCATCTCAAAAACGATGTTTATTGCAATGCATCACACAGACTGAAGGTAATCTGCATGTCCCGGGCATTAAGCTCACTGTATGCTTATTGCTTATGTTGAAGGGTCATATATGTGGCTGAGAAGAAGGAAATATATAAGAAGCTTAAATATATTTTTAATCATTGATAAAAAAATTTATTTTAGTCTTATTTTTTATAATTTTACTTTAAAAAAATTAAAACTAAAAATTCATTAAAATGTGGGCATAAAAAACATATTTAAGTCAATATATATCAATGAGAGATCATTAATATAATTGAGGCGAGTGGGTATTCTTGTTCAGTTGAAGAGCTGTGGGAAAAATCCAAATCATACTCACAAAGCTTTTATCAGAATGACAATGGCATCCATTGAAATAATTTTAAAAAGGGTTTTCTTAACCCAGTATATAAAAATCAAATTTAAGTATTTACAAATAAAAATTTTTTATAAAAAAATACGCAGTTATTATATTAAAATTATAAAAATATAATAAATATTTTTTAATAAAAATTTATTATTATTAATTATTTATTCTTAATTTTAAAAGATTAAAACTGAAGTTAACGAGACTCTTTTAAAAATATATATAATCCAGTGTGCTTCCGTGCTCTCGTTAGATGTGCACCTACAATTTCTAAGAAGATTCCTAATTCTGAGTTTTTGGGATTCGTTTTTGTTCAATATCCCCTGTAATCATTTTTCTTTTCTATCACATCATCATTGCATTTTTTTTTCTTTTTATCTTTTCTTTCTCACACCTATCTCACTTGCTATGATGAGGAATGAGACAATCCATTTCTACCATAACATACCTTTTAATTATCATTTTTGAATAACAACTTTTCAAAAAAGTTATTCTTATTCTCATTAAGTTCATGACTTCTCTTGAGTATCTAATTTTATTTATAATTTTTATAATATTTTTTAAAATTTAATTTCAATTTTACAAAATATTATTTTATATATTGCCATATAAATTAAATTTGCTGACATTTGTAACAATTTCTTTACAAGTCATTTAAAATAATTTTAATTAATTGACAGTATATATATATATTTTATATTGATAGTGTATTAAAATTAAATTCATTTAATATATCATCAACTTACAAATTTTTGACAACTTCAACAATAACTATTGTACTGTTATTTAATAAGGACAACAAAAATGTAGATAACTGACTTCAGCAAAACAGTACAATTACTAACAACGTTTTTTTTTTTCTCATTATTGTCTTACAAATTTTGGTTTTAATGATAGATGTTTGCTCCCTGGTTAGCAGGCTATATAGTAGTCCATATCAAGGGAAGACGTGAATTCAATCCAAGCATTTTGATGAGAATAGCATATAGTAGTTTACATTTCTTTGGAAAGTTGAGGAGAATACTATCAGCTTCGCATGGGCACCGGGAAATTGTTCACATATTTACCAAAGAATAATTAGGAGGCATCACCTTTGCAAAGAATGCTGTTATAAACAGGATAATACGTATCTAATTCAAGTTGATCTAAGACATGTTGGGTAGCCCACAGATACGAAGAATGGCCTTCAATGTGATCTGTTACGTCAACCTGCAAATCCAAGGAACCATTTTAAGTAAAACATCGGAATCCAATGAATGACAAATGCTACCACTAGTTTACAAGTTAAAATAGCAACTTGCATTTGTACCCAAAATGAAAAAATAGTCATGAGCAGCCAAGAGGACAGAGAAAAAAAAAAACTAACATTTTGGATCCCTGGAATATCGACTGGTTGGATTCCGGCTAACCCTTGAGAAAGTAGACTGCACAATATTAATAGATTAATTTCTACTTTCTGTCTCATAAAAATTACGATTAATTTTTTTTTTTTGTGTGTGTGTGTAAAATTAAAAAATCTCTATTAAACTTCCTAAGCATGCTCTTAATCAGTAAAAACAACTACCACCTGTTTCTCTCTCCCAATGGAATATATAATCAGTCTCTCACGAAAATCGAATGGTGCAAAAATTGACCACAATCACGAGAAGTTTATGGGTCCAGATCAATAGATGAGACAAGTAAATAAAAATATGGAATGTAGTAGTCTGCTATTGCAGGATCAAATGCCATAACTTAATACTTCATGTACAAAACTACATATAAAACATATTTAGTCCATAGATTTATGTGGTGAGAATCCTCAAAACAAACTCCATGCCCTTCTTTCATTTTTCATTTTACCTGGCGCGGAAAGCAACTCCAAGCATCCAGTCATTCCTTGAATAAGCATTTATAAATCTTCCTGCTACCATCTACAGAATACCAGGATCTCATAAAAATTAATAAAAACTATTTTCCATCATACATGTGAGATCAAGTAGGTACAGCTAAGAGAAAAATTAAATCCCCTTCCACCTTTCTAGCAGCTTCCCAATTCTCACCCTTGATTGCAATGGGTGCTCCAAGAAGGACAACTCTTTCTACCAGTTCAGCTGCCAATGAACAGAAGAAGCACCTCAAAATCAATGAGAAACAAACATCTTATTTTACAGTTAAACATGAGTCCCAACAGTACGAAATCATATGTACTTGTAACCAGAGTTGAAAAGTTTAAAATAGGAAAAAGCTTATCCTAGATATAGTCTATAAGATCAAAAGATCCCCAAGGAGAGAAAGATAACCTATCGCATGACAAAAAAAAGTGGAAATACATACAGCTGTTTTCTGTTTCAGCCAAAAACTCCAGACACTTGAAAATAACTCTTGCCCCAAGTGAGTAACCAACAAGTGTCACAGGCCTGAAACGCATAGGTTAAATATTGCAGATTCCACAACTTATAGGAGCTATAAATACTTAGAAGAAACTTCAGAATAAGCAAACACCTATTTCCCTGCAATCCAACTAATAATACTTCAGCAAGCAACTTTCCTGCCTTGTCTGACCTGAAAAGTGAAATTACCTTAGATAAGCAGGATTAATTGTAAACTAAGAATGAAAACTAACAATTTTTTCATTGAGACGATCATTATTGAAAACATCACTCCTTAAAAAAAAGAGAAACAAAAACAGATGACATCCTTAGCATGCCAAAGCACCTCAACATCCCAGAGCATACCCACTACATGAAGGTATTTAACAAACACAAAAGCAAATGCAAGATTTCATTTCCACATGGAAGATGATGAAGCCTTAAAACCTGTAGGCTAGGAATAGCACAAATGATATGTGCTAGGCATGTTCCTCACAAAATGAAATTAATTCAAATAAGCCTCGTGCTGTTGCCAACTTCCATGACAGTTTTTCAAGTTTATGAAACACTATTAATGTCTGTTAACAATCAATTGCATCGCTATGTACTATCCAACAAAAACAAGTGAAACCCTTGAATTGCCTGTGTGCTGTTGAGTAACAAAAACAAACGTAAACCTGTCGATAGCAATTGTCCATGTGCTGTCTATGAAATCAGTTGCTGCAAGTAATGCAGCTGGCCAAGCCAAAGCAGTTAAAAGTGCACTCAACACAGTCATCATTGCCCCTTGCTTCATCAGCTCCGTTGCAATTCCTATAAAACCACAGAATATTGACATCGTATACGTCTCTACTTAAATATACTATACAAAAATACTAGCAGCCTGAAACCCAAACTAATTACTTGAAGTAAGCCAATCCTGAATTGCAGTGCTCAGGGAAATTAGATTCTTGGACTCCCACTTCAGCGCATACCTAACTTTTGGCAAGGCCATATAAAATTTCATTTGTGTAGCAAGACCATAATTAAACATTGCAATTTCTTAAATGAAGAGAAACTGAAGGAAATTAGGTGATTATAATTTTATATGTAATTTTGCATTAACATGTTGTCCTTGGCTAATGAAAATCATATTCAATAATAATATTCACAATTGTAAAAACTATTTTTTCCTATAACCAAATGCAAGTAATTTAGGAGAAAGAAAATGTCAAATATATGTACCTCTCCAAGTTGTCATTCTGTCCTTCCCAGGGCATTATAAAGTCATCCTCATCAAAGACAAATCCAGAGACCACGATCTCAACCCCAAGCCTCTACAAGCAAAATCCAAATAAGAATCTAATTTGAAATGCTAAACAAAGCACAATATTAGTGTTAGATAATATGAGAAAGGTTACACAAAGTTCACACATGTGCATGCTCCCCTGACACACAGATCACAACTCAAGAAAGAAATAGTCACCAGAAAGTTTAAATATGAAATCAATAAAAACTTACTCCTTGGTTATGGTTTTCTCCTATAGCTTTGAATTCAAACTCATCAACGTCCCCAACTCTCCTAGCCATTTTGCTTCCAGTCAGTCCAGCTCCAGCAGCTTGTAAAATAAGGTGAAATAATTTTCATCATCTTAAAAAGGAGCATCACCAACAGTAACAGAGACAGGAAATAACTGAAAAAGGAGAGTCAACTAACCTATAGATCATAAATGAGTCCCAATAACAGATAAAAACTAGCTTGAACTACAAAGGAATATTATAAATTGAAGGCTAAGCCTAAATGTACTCTCTCAGGATAAGAATAGGATATAGCCAACATTGACGGGCCTGTTAACTACTTCAGACTATTCAAAAATTAAAGATAAATTCCCGTATAACCTTTATAAATCCTTCAGGAGGCAATACAAAGAGTTCCCTTTGCAACTTGACTGACAGTTATCTAACTTATTTCATCCAAGCAAACAACCAAGCCTTTTTCTACTGGGTGTTTTGGTTACATGGATTCAACAAAGCTATAAAGCAATCACTGTAAGCATGCTAATTGATAAACTGCAGCATAAAAAAATATAAGTTGAGCAGTAATGTAGCATAAAAACCACCTCATTGAGGACCAATCCAAAACCCTAAAACCTCTAAGACACGTAAGCATAGGAATAATGACTTGGTGATCCTGATAGTATTCTTAAACCATACTGGTAATTCACAAAAGACTGGTTAATTTCTATGTAAATTGAAGACATAATGGTATATCATGAGAAGACTCTTGTAAAATATTAAAATCCAATCACATATAGGGAAATATATACCTCCAAATGATGCAGCAACAGCAACAGAACCAGCGACAGTTCCAGCAGCACTAGCAGCTGCGGCAAATCCACCTGCTCCAATTATGGGGATCAGAGTGCCCAAAGTTGGAGCCAAAGCACCAAGTCCTGCAGCAATTGCAGGGGCAGCTAATCCTGTTTAATTTGTAAAAACATTAACAGTCAAATCCACAAGGAAATTAACTCAATTTGAAATTATAATTCCAGAACACAGAAAACATGTTAAGGTATTCATACCACCAGTAACAGCCATCAAAGTTCCCCCAGTTAAGGCTGCAGCCCCAATGATACCACCCCGCTTCCATTTAGCCCACTTGCTTTCTTTTGCTTGAGTTTCTTCATTATTTAACTCTTGCTCTTTAATGAAAGCCATTGCAGAACTAGCAACTATCGTCTCGATGGCCTCCTGTAAAATAGATTCATCTCCATCACTAGATGATATGAAACCAATAAAAGGGACTCTTATTTTTAATAAAGAACGCAAAGCCTATTATCACATACCCATGTAAAATTAGGCTGAATAAAACTCAAAAATTGCAGGGGAATGTAAAGTTGTATACACAATGTTCACCAGAGTAAGGATTAGTTCTTGACATGTCTTTTTGAACACAGTATAAACAGTAAAAAACTATTACACTCATATCTCACAATCACCTCAATTTGTAAAAGGTTGTTTCCCAATCACGTTAGTTACCAATTAAATCATTCATTTTACCAACCATTTTAGCCCATTTGATATCAAGCCAAGTTGTCAGCAGCCGTAGTGCGACACGATGTCGAGCATCATAGCCCTTTCTCCTCCGTCTAGATTTCTTGTTATTTTCACCTAAATCTGACAGACAAGCAGAGAGAAGTTCATAGAGCACTGTCACTTTCCTTGGATAGCTGAGCTTCATTACCTCTTCAATTGGACTCTCAACAATATTACTATCAATAGATCCCTGATGTGCATCTTGACAGTCAAGGAAAGGAGAATCTGGCTCCTCCTGAGTTTCTAAATGCATATCAACCTTCTCAGAATTTTGTTGAACGTCAGCAGTTGCAAACTTTTGACGACATTGATGCTCATATTGGCGTAACTTCTCTCTTTTAGACCTGGAAGACTCTGAATTCTTTTCCAGGCTAAGCACCATAGCATCAACAGCTTCTGACAAAGCAAGTTCTTGATCTAGCCTTTGGGAACACTCATCACCAAATTCTTCTGATAATAGTCTCAAGAACTGTGACATTCACATATATTCTACTTAAGTGATGTATTTGAAAAAAAAAAAAGCATATCACATAAAAAGATAAATGAGTAACAACCCATGTCATGCATTTAGAATCCAGAGTTAGGCATGCATGACATGGCACATGCCATAAAGTACACATGCATAAACAAAGAAAAACCATTGACCAAATGAATAAACGATGTAGGGAAGAAAAGGAAAACTCAACATTGAGCAAGGTAATGCATGCTCGGAATATAGATGCAACAAAACATGAGAAAGTACATGAACATGTAACGTACTGGCCCCACGTGTCGCGTAGCTGAAGAAGAGCCAGCAGTTTCCTCAATCCCAGACCATGCGGCAGAATCAATATCTAAGTACCTGCTCAGAGACACACAATAAGCATAACACTGAAATCACTCAAATAAACTGGTATATTATTATTAGTAATATCAAAGAAGCACTTGTAGTTTTAAAATTAAGAATTATCTTGCTTATGAGTATGATGATGATGGTTTTGTAGTTGAAAAGCAATAAGACATACTTGAAAACGGGGTGGAGCAAACCGGAATGTTGATGGACCCAAAGGGTGGAATCTTCGGAAACTGCAAGAGTGCCGGAACTACTTTCAGAAGGGAAGTCATCCCTTGACAGGCCCAGAGGGTGGGTCTGGTGAAGTTGGGCCTGATGCACTGCCAGTCCAAACAACGCCCCGGCTGCGTACCGCTGTGTCTCCGTCAGATGCGACGTCTCCGCCATCACTCTCACCCTCAAACCCACGCGAATGTTCTCTGATCACTGAATTCTCTAGATCACTTCTTAAAGGATGTTTTTCTGTTTTGTTTTCTGACGCGGTTGGCTTTGAATTTTCTGCGTTTTCTTCACAAATGTGTTGAGCAATTTAGTGCATTCATTTTTCCTCTTATTTTATTTTGGGTCTTGGATTATTTTTTTAACGCGTGTTTATGCCACACCGGTGGTGACTGTTCTTGAACTCTCGGATCTTTTTCTCCTCCTTTTTATCTATCTCTATCCATTTATTGCAAGAAAAATAATTATATGTATCATACCTGTGATTTAGAAAGGATTTCTTGAAAGATCATATTCAATTTATGAAACTTTTTTCTTCTATTGTCTCTTCGATTATCAACACTCACGTTATTGATTGCGTTATTATTCATTTGACACTCTCGACTAAAGAGACTTAAAGAATGAAGCAATCAAGAATATTTGTATCTGACAATACACGAAATAGTAAAAAAAGTAATCTAAAGCTATATTTAAATTTGTATGATACAATAAATAGAGAGAAATAGTATTGAATGATATCTTATTTTATTGTTTTCATTGAATTAAATACAATAGAAGTTAATAAAACTTATTTTATTATTTATGCTAACTTTTTTTCCCTTTTAAGTTTTTGACTTTTGACAGTAGAATGGGTTGAATTATAAAAATTTAGAATAATCGGTTATGTAAAATGGAAGTTCAAATTTAAGTCCTTTTCAAGCATAAAACTCAGAATAATTTGATTTTTTAAAAATTGTTTTGATATGAATTAGAAATAAATTATTACATTAATTATAATTTTGTAAAATACATTAAAATTTAGAATATCAAATATGTATCCAACAAATTTAAAAAAGTTACATTACTTCATAAAAAATAAATTAAACATAACTATTTAAAATGAATATTTTAATAATAATTTAATTATTTAATTTTTTTAATTATAATTATCGTCCTAGTTCTCACGATCACAATGTATAATTTAAAATCAGATATTGATTATATTAATATATTATAATATATAATAAATCAATACTTTTAATTTTATAAATAATAAATTAATAATTTTAATTTTATATAATAAATTCAATTTAGAATAAAAATTACTTAAAAAGTATATTCATTTAAAAAAGCGATACTAGTAGCAACTCGTAGGCTAGTTGGTCTTGCATGAGTTCAAGTTTATTAGATTAAGTTAAAATAATATTTCTTCTCTAATAGATATTTTTGGGTGACAAAATTATTAGTCTTCATATAAAATCATGAATGTTTATATTTTTAAAATTTAATTTGAAAGCATAGTTAGTGTTTTAAAATATTTTCCTTTCACGCTTTCCTGTCATCTAATTTATCTTTTCTCATTTTCATTTTTTTTTCTTATTTTTTGTAAACGATGAATAACCTTTGGCAACTACCATCACATTCCATTCTTTATAGCATAAAACAATCAATGAATTAAAGGTAAAAGATACGAAAATAAAAAAATAGACAACAATGCTGAAGCCATGCAAAATCATTAAAAATGGTAAATTTTTATAAAAAAATATATTATTTAATATTATCAATTCATCTGAATTACATTAAATATTTACTATATATAATTTCTTATTTGTACAAGATTGCACAAATTAAAAAAATTGATATATATATATATATATATATATATATATTATTTTAAATTATAAATATCTTTAAAAACTTTAAAGGAACACGGAATGCAGATCCATTTGACAATGAAACCTATAAAGTTCTTCACATTTAATATTCAATGAAATTACATAGCGGAATGGACAAGACTACCAAGAACCCTACCGATCTTTCTTTCTTCATCAACAAACAAATAATGAAGGCGAGAGGTTACTGTTTGCAAAGAATGCTGTTATAAACACGATATTATGTATCCAATTTTCAAGTTTGTCTAAGATTTGTTTAGCCTAAAGATGATAAGAAAAATGGCCTTCAACCTAATTTGTCATGTCAACCTGCAAATCAAAAGAATCATTTAAGCAAAATATCCAAGCTGTATGAAATATGATAGCAACTTGGAGAAATAGTTGTCTTGCAAAGGAAGTGGGGAAACAACTTACAATTGGGATCCCAGGAAAATTGAATGGTTGGATTCCAACTAATCCTGGAGAAAGTAGACTGCATAAAGTTAATTGATTAGTTTCTACTTTCAACTAACGGAAATCCTTTTAAAGTAAATCTTCAAAAAACGTGTTATGAGACTAATGGAAGGGTTTTCTCAGCCTAACACCCAATGATTACATGAAGCACTAATGTTCTTTGTACCAACCTCAACTTCAGAGCTCTTTGATGAATGCTCCCCAGATATTCTTTGATGATGATGATGCACATCTGCTTGCTGAAACGGTTGCTCTGCTGTTGTGGATTGAGATTGTAAGTGTAAATCACCTGTGGAGCTCAGTGCATCACCTTTACCTGCATCAAGCATTGGGCTAAGCCCATCTGCAAAACTAAGACAATCAGTTATAGAACCATCAGTCAACTCCTCACCACATTTCATGATTGAAGTGGGAGATTCCAAGCCACCAAATGACTCCATCCCCATTGCCTCCACTTCTGCCAACAGATCTGAAACTGACTCATCAAAATCAGTTGGTTCGCCAAAGATTGCCAGCCATGTAGATGTATTACACACTGGATTAGTTACATTAGGACTAGGGCATCTCCAGTTTTGACCGGAAGACTGCCCAGAATTATCCTCACTGTCTGATTGTTTCTGACAACTTTGCCCACTATTACTTTGACCATCAGAAATCCTGTTCAAATCGAAATTTCCATTATCTTCAGATTTTCTCTCGATCCCATGATCTTCCCTTAATTTATCAGAAGGATTCTCGATCAGTTTCTCAAAAAAGGTAGTTGATGGTAGAGAAGGGTTTACATGGGGGTGGTCATGACAAGAAATTTCACATTTTGATGACTCTTCCCTCCTTTCAAAATTTCCACTTTGCCCCTCATTGTTATTCCCATCTGCTTGTACAGTCCAACAAGGAGACTGAGAGTGCCATCCATTGCTCCTAACAGATTCATCTATACCATTTGATTGTGCATGAGTATCATCTACCTTTTGCTCCACACTCTGCTCAATAATTTGACTCTGTGCAAAATTTTCAATCCTTGTCATATTGCTCTCACCATCCTGACTATTTTCTTTATTATCCATTTTACCATTGGCCCCCAAAAACAGTTGTTGGCTGTTGTATGATGCCGACACATGTTTGGAATACTTCCCACTCAGAACATCTGTTAAGAACATAGAGTTATCTTGTTTCTCATCTATCTTCCATATTCTTAGATTTGTAGGAAAGTATCCGCTTGCATTCCACTGATGCAGCTGCAGTATAGAGAAAGGTCCTTGAATCTTCCCAGTTGGATCCTGATAATGCCATGGTTTATCATTCACCATATCGCTAATTGGAAGCTCCATCCCTGTAGAGAGAAGTAATGATGAAATATCTGCCACAACACCAGATGCTTCTAATCTCACAACTCCTGCATTAGTGCTATCATTAATTACTGTTTCACTAGGGTTAATCAGGTTCTTTATTATACATATATTCACAGTTTGCTCCTAGGTAGTGTAGTGAGCAAGTCTTGTGTACTGCATTGAACAGAAACCATTCCAATTATGTTGATGTTTATTGCTTGTCTTAGCCTTGTTTTTTAAATTATTTGATTCTATTTCTATACAGGAGCTTCCAGAACTAAAACCTTTGTCATCTTTAAGATGATAAAGTTCATGAGAAGGTTGAACATTACAACTTAGAAAAGCAGTACCTTTGTATGGATTTTTAGCTTGAAGGATTTCATCAAGTGTCAAAGATAGCTTCTCTTTCAAATACATCCAATACACCTTGAAGAGATATTCCCAGCTGCTCTTGTCATCAAAATCGACTTCACACTATAAAAGCAACACAAGGGAAAAAAATAGATCATCATGCATTCATGTATCATTAACTCAACATCAAGTAAACTGCTCCCCCATCTCACCTTTTGTCTCCCTCCCTAGTACACAGTAAAAGAAGGAGGAAACAGTAATCAAGTACGTGCATATAAAAGAAAGTTTAACATACCATTGGCTTATTGCCCTGGGCAATGTTCTCTATCAGCATTATAGTCCTCTTGCACATTCCACACAAACCTTTATTTCCTCTTACGCAGACAAAATCAGCATCTTTTGTACATCCCTTGCACAAAGAATATGTACAAGTGTAGCACATATAATGCGATGTCTTTCCACAATTGCTACATATATGCCAACCTAAGTAGTGAAAAATATATGCGTTCATTAAAAGGAAAGCTGCACCATGTAATACAACTAAAATATTAAAACCCAAAACAAACAAAAGAGATTGACTTCTCATAAATAAGGAATGAGGGTCCACTGTTTGGCAAATGCAATAATTGTAAAACTCTAATAAAGAGATAATAAGTGAATTGTTTCTACCAAATACACAGAAAAGAAAGACACATGCATTGGAAATCTAAACACTAAATCCAATCTATGCAAGTGGAGCCAATGCCATTCATACATGCATTTTCTTCCCTCCTAACTGAAGCACTTCTTGATACAATTGTCATCAGTTAATAAACCCCATCTTTAATTACAATTTAATTTCAAAAAGTTTAAATTCAAATTTCATTTACAAAAGATTAGAATTCATTAAAGCAATAAAATGTAAGTTAATCACTTCCACTTTCAAACTTTCAAATTAATTCATACATCTCTTATCTCGTATAGGTAAATAAATACAAGATTCTGTTACTTCAAAACTTTAATTGGAACTCCAAAGTTAGCATTCATCACCATGCACACAAAATAAGATACATATATGCCAACCTAAGTAGTGAAAAATATATGCGTTCATTAAAAGGAAAGCTGCACCGTGTAATACAACTAAAATATTAAAACCCAAAACAAACAAAAGAGATTGACTTCTCATAAATAAGGAATGAGGGTCCACTGTTTGGCAAATGTAATAATTGTAAAACTCTAATAAAGAGATAATAAGTGAATTGTTTCTACCAAATACACAGAAAAGAATACACATGCATTGGAAATCTAAACACTAAATCCAATCTATGCAAGTGGAGCCAATGCCATTCATACATGCATTTTCTTCCCTCCTAACTGAAGCACTTCTTGATACAATTGTCATCAGTTAATAAACCCCATCTTTAATTACAATTTAATTTCAAAAAGTTTAAATTCAAATTTCATTTACAAAAGATTAGAATTCATTAAAGCAATAAAATGTAAGTTAATCACTTCCACTTTCAAACTTTCAAATTAATTCATACATCTCTTATCTCGTATAGGTAAATAAATACAAGATTCTGTTACTTCAAAACTTTAATTGGAACTCCAAAGTTAGCATTCATCACCATGCACACAAAATAAGATACACATATGCCAACCTAAGTAGTGAAAAATATATGCGTTCATTAAAAGGAAAGCTGCACCATGTAATACAACTAAAATATTAAAACCCAAAACAAACAAAAGAGATTGACTTCTCATAAATAAGGAATAAGGGTCCACTGTTTGGCAAATGTAATAATTGTAAAACTCTAATAAAGAGATAATAAGTGAATTGTTTCTACCAAATACACAGAAAAGAATACACATGCATTGGAAATCTAAACACTAAATCCAATCTATGCAAGTGGAGCCAATGCCATTCATACATGCATTTTCTTCCCTCCTAACTGAAGCACTTCTTGATACAATTGTCATCAGTTAATAAACCCCATCTTTAATTACAATTTAATTTCAAAAAGTTTAAATTCAAATTTCATTTAAAAAAAGATTAGAATTCACTAAAGCAATAAAATGTAAGTTAATCACTTCCACTTTCAAACTTTCAAATTAATTCATACATCTCTTATCTCGTATAGGTAAATAAATACAAGATTCTGTTACTTCAAAACTTTAATTGGAACTCCAAAGTTAGCATTCATCACCATGCACACAAAATAAGATACATGTAAGTAAAAATAACCTTGGATATTATTCCTCAAGTTTCAAAGAACATATACAGAGAGCAAAATCAGATCCACATGCATGTTAATTAGGGAATTATGTGGACAAATTAACACAGACATGCACATAAAAATCAAACATAGTTGAAGAAGAATCGTACCGCAATTCCACTTGGCCTTTGAACGGAAAAATGCTTCGTCTCGCTTAATACACGAGGGATGATAGGCTTTAGGGCAACCCCTAAAAAAGAAAGAAAAGAAAGAGAGAGAAACCGATAAATCCTCGAATGATAACAACTGAATAAACGCACGTGCTACTAGCAAGGTTAAACCCAAAGTGAAACTGAATTTGCAAACTCGAACTCAAATTTCGCATGATTGAGCAATCATAAGGGCGAAGTGAAGAGTAGGACGACTCACCGGCGATCGCAGAGAACAAGGCTTCCACCATCGAAGCATATGAAGCAAACATCTTCCTCATCCTTCTTCGGCTTCAACGGAGGAGTCGTTTTCGGAACGGTCTTTCCCTTGGCTGGACGACCACGCTTCCTTTTCAAAACGGCGACCATACCACCATCGTTTACCTCAGCCATCTCAACATCGGAGGCCTCTGTGACAGAAACTCCAACGAGCTGCGACTTCTCGAAATCCCCAACAGCGGCGCTGACAACCTCCGCGGCTGGCGTGACCGCTGGGGGCTGCTGCTGAAGCTGCGATTCCATAGAAGAATGGAATGGAATCGAGAGAATCAAGTACTGGAAAGCATGAATTGAGAGAGTTGCGAGAGAGAAAGGAACCCTAACGAGGAATTGGGATTGGGATTGGGGTGTGGTCGGTCTAATGTGGTGAGTGGGCACACGGAATTGGAGTTGAAAAATGGACTTGGTGCAGATGTAAGGAGACTTGTTTGTTTCTTTCTTCTTTCCTTTTTTTAAGAAATTAATATTAATTTTTGCCTTTTCGCTTTTACCTTTCATGACAATATATTAAAATATTATTATTAATTAGTGTTTTTATTATTTGGTTTGTGATAATTCTTCAAGATTGTGAATGAATGGACAAAAGCGACTCTTACGTGTGTCGATTCTGCGTTTCTCCAACAGCACGTGGTTAGTTGTTACCGAGGAAAGGCCACTCATTGTGCCTGGGACCCACTTCGCTGTTATGTTCAACGCCAAAAACATGATCCAAATCACTCTTTCTCCTCTTCCTTATACTCACAATGTAATCTATTTTTATTAACATTAACATCAAAATCTTGAGCCAGTTTTCTATGTGGGACCCATGTTATGTTCATTTTAAATTATTTATATAATAATTTCTTTTACTTCAAAACTTGTTGTTTAAATATATAAACTTCTATTTTTATTTTTTATATATAGAATGAGGATAAAAGGTAAATTAAAATAAGTATTTTATAAAATTAAATTTTGAAGTGAGTTTTTTTATAAAGTTAGAAATTTAAGTGATGAGTACTCATAATTTTAATGGTTGAAATGGAAATTTACTTTACTCAAAATATTTAATATGAAAATGTATATTAAAATTAAAATTAATAGTATTAAAAACTCAATTGAATATAAATGAAATAATTATCAATTCGAAGAAAAATAATAAAATGATGAGCCTGCTTTTAAGGAAAACATTTACTTACAATATTATTTATTTATTTATTGGTATATGAAGAAATATTAATATAAGTAAAATGTGTTTAGGATTATGTATTTGGGGTTGTAAAATAAGTACTTTGCTTATTAGGATGTCCTAATCATAAATGCTTTTTACATTAATTTAATTAAAATTTTATTTGAATATTTCGTTACATTTATTAGAGGCAATTATGTTGAGTTTTATTCACTCGAAGAAATCACATATTAAACTGAGGTTAAAACAGTTTCTGCTTATACGCATTTAGATTCGCCCTTTCATTTTATTTTGGATCCTATTGTGAAAACACGACAAGTTTGGTTTGCGTTCATTCTTGTTTGTGGCACGAAAGGATTGTATGGTCAAAAAGGTGCACTTCCTGTTTTGCTTTCATACAAACTTTCCTATCAGTTTCTGCTATTTTCATCTTTTATTGTACAAACTTTCCCATCTATTTCAGTAAGATAAGTTTATTATTAATTTATTAAACTTTAAAAATAAGTAAAATTCTTATTTTAAATATAAATTCACTTTTTTAGATAAACTTTTTCCTTGCGAGTGGTGTTTTGCTCCCGCAAGTTAATCAAGATTTTATAAATTATCACGTCACTATTACGATGTGTGCTGTCAAGAAGTTCGAGTATTATTTAAGATGTTGCCCATAATTTACCTAAAAGACATGATATCGCGCGCCCCATCATAAATGTTTGGTTTGACTTGTTGTTTGTTTCACTCAAGAACCTCTTCTGGGTTGAAATTTTTATAGATGTTACGATGTGATTCACGTGTATCTACATTTTTCTTTTATGCCACCTTTAAATATATATATATTGCAATTTATTCTATTCCTATTTTATGAAATCACTGTTCCGTGTGCTAAACACGACATTAGTTTTGATGATAAAAGGGTTGATTTTATTCGAAAAATAGAAACTCAAACATCAACATATATAATTTTTTAATCACGCAAGCAAGGAGTATAAACCTGGATTTAATTAAAATAATGGGTAAAGAAGTTTAGAGAAAGATCTTTTGACATAATGCAAAAGGTTTCACACACACTGACACACAAAGCTATTCCAAACACGTTGAATTAAAGTGGTCTTAAAGATAAGGTGATTAGGATATTTCTTACAACAAAACAAGTCGAAAACAACTGACTACAGTGGCAAAGGCATTTGTTACAAGGAGATGATTGACTGGTACTTAACTTTTAGGTGTTGAATGAGTGAAAGTAGAGGGAAAATAAAAAAAATGACAGTAATGATAAAAAAAAAATAGAGGAAAAGATAGAGAATGAATATAAAGGCAAATGTGAGAAAACATAAGTAATATTTTATTATATCATCTTGAAGTGGATATTTTGTATTAAGTTATAAATTAGTAATTGTGTCTCTTTTCATTATGAAAGTGGAACCATTTGAGTTTATGGCGAATGGCACCACACATGTCACCCAAGTGGAATTGCCATATTTCTATATGTGATATTAATCCATTTAGGAGGTAGGAAGTTGGTGTAGGACACTCCATCAGCAAGGTTTCTGCTCCTCCACCGGCAGCATTTATTCTTAGAATTTGAGTTTGAGAAATACTATGTATATGTATATATGTATGTTTGTTGGATTTAAGCCTAATAGGTAAGTACGTCAGTTACGGTGGAAAATAATATAAAACATTGGATTATGAATAGAAGAAACTAAGGAGTTGCTGTAATTATATAAGTTAGGATTCCTTCTCCAAGTCTGAGATTTCTAACTAAGAATTTTCCATTTGAAGTCACAATTATAAAGAGGAATTTAGAAGGGATCTCTTGTTCCGTCTTGCTATTAGCACAAATAAGTGACATTCTTTTTAGAATATTCATTAAGACAACCGATTTTTTAGATGCTCTTTAAAAAGTATGCAATTATTCATGGGTTTCTAGATGTTTTAAATTCTACTATGAACATGATCAGTATGTTAGGTTTGCCCGTTTGGGTTCCTTGAGTCCTATATCAGTTAGGTATTTAGCTTATTTATAACATGTTTTAGTTCAGTATATGTTAAAGAATTAATTAAGAATAAATTTAAAGAATAAGTGATTATTTTTCTTGAAAAAAAAAAAAACTATTCTAGACACTGTTTTCATCGCTTCTTTTTTATAAAACGTTCCAGCCTGTTTTACTGTGATCACAGTTAGCATTTAACATATTTCTTTCTTGTTTTTATTATTTTTAATATTATTTAAAAATAATAATACGGCACTAATAAAATCGAAGATTAAAAAAAAGAGTTATTTTCTTAAACCAAAGATATCATAAAGTTTCATGTTGCATACACTTGAGTCTGTTATAGCTTTGCTTTTAGTTGGATTATTTAGCTGTGTTTACCGTTTCTACCTTCGTTACCTTCCACTTGAGCTTGAGACAAATTCTATAGAGTACCTTGTTGAGTTTGGTACGCAGATATATTCTTATTTTGTCAATCCTTTAATTATCCTTTTCAATCAGTTTATTCCTAAACTATTTTTTTATGCTACTCTTTTAACTGGTTTTCCTTTTAAAACCAAACCAAACCACCCATACTTCATTAGCCACCACTATTCTACTTGGAAAATTCTTAGCATGTAGAAAACAACAACACAACCCGTTGTTCCGTTTTTTTCATCAAACCAGCCACGATTCCATGTCCTTATCCAACAAATCTCATCTCCCTCAAAACAATGACCCCCTCTACCGTTTTCAAAGAGTGTAGCACATAAAAGTGGGTCTTCATGGCAATTATTAGGAAAATTGAGTGTGGAGCTTGGAACAAGGGCTGAGTTAAACGGGTTTCCATGGCAAGATCTAGTTTGAGAAGAGACTGAGTGGGCTTTAAGTTAATGGTTATGATGGAGGAGAGTGGTTATTCTTTTGGTGAATCAAGAGAACTTAATAGTTTTGAGGGTTGATTTGTGAATGGTTTGGCATGGAGTGGTGTCAAGAGGGGTAATCAAGGATGGTGTATTATTTGGTTTGGGATCTTTTCTTCAGTGACTGGTAGTTGCAGCATAGGGTGGTTTTGGTTGACTTGAAGTGGACCTGCAATAAAGTTGAGAGCAAGGAGACAGATAAAAAAATAAAGGAGTGAAATGAAATTACAAAGAATTAAAGATTTTAGAATGAAAAGTGTAGAAGGAGCAATATGTTGGATAAAGAAAAATGATTCTTTGATATTTTAGATTGTCAATTGAGTGGAGGAAGATAGAAATCGAAAACAAAAAGTTTTTTTATCTTGTTCTTGACATTCTGAATTCTTTGTCTGCTTTTTTGCTTCTTCCTTTCACCAGGATGGATACAAGTATGGACTCAGTTGCACTAATGTTTGAAGAAATTGAGCAAGTCTTTACCATGGTTATAATGTGGAATGTTGAATTATAAAAATTGTAGTTCTGAAATTAATGGTTTTATATATGTATATTTTATAAGCTTATCAATACGTTTATAATTCAATTCTAACCCAATAGTCAACATTGTCTCTTAACATATCTCATTTAATGGAGTAAGATTTTTATTATTGTTGTAATCAATTATATCTTCTACTTAAATCTTAACAATTGATTATTGCATGTTTTAGACTTTACCTTTATTTGATTCAAGAAAAGATCATAAAAGGACGAATAAATTTATAAAAATGAGAATTTCTACTGCGTGGGTATATGAAAAGGTGAGAACAAAAAAGAAGTTAGAGAAATTGAAACAAGAAGGTACATGCAAGTTGCAACCTACCAAATTTTCTTTCTGTGGGAAGAAAATGTGCAAGTGCTCTTATTCTTCTCAAATGCTTTTCTAAACTCGTGTGTGTTGTGGTTAGCACGAGGAAATAATTAAATGGTTAAGTTTGCTCTGTTAGTATAACTTTTACTTTCCAAAAATTAATTTATTATCATATATATTTTAAGTTTATATTAATAATATCATTAATTAATAGTATACAAATTTTTTATATTAACAAAATTATATATTTATTTAGTGGTATAAAAATTTAGTATATATGCATCATATCATTTATCAGAAGTCTATAACGCGTATGTTGATAAGAACTTGATTATTAATTACATGTATGAAAATGATTTTTTAGAGAGATTATATTTACTTTAGTAATTTATTTACTTTGAAAGTACTAGATTATCAGCTGAGAATGCCATAGTAGATGCTAAAAACAAACTCATAATATCTACATTAATAACGTAATCTTTGTTAAATAAATATTATATACTGATAGATCAAATTTTTTATAATTTAATACTATTCCAACCACTAGCATTTGTTTAACTTTTCGTATAGAATATTATTTTGCAGTGCATTTGCACCACTTCAAGATTGTCCCTATCCCATTGTTACACTCTAACGGGTGATTTCATGACAATGGAAGTGAGAACTGAAATGAAAGCTGAAACATATGCCATAGATTCCAGTAGTATTCTCTTAATTTTATGCAGCTGTTTGGAATTAGATCTTGTGTTTCATAATTGTGGTGCAGTTTTTGGAGATATCCTTGTCATGCTGGCTTGGAACTGAGATTGTTTACCAAATTCTTCGTAAGAGCCACATTTGGGAAATAAGAACAACCACACTTGCTTTGAGTCTCATAGTCTCATTCCGTGCAGAACAGATGAGGGTTATGTTCATGAAATTAAGTCTAGTTTGTTATGTTCTCTTGCTTTTTCTTATTTATCACAGGTTTTGGAGTTATTTTTTACCAATGGTTTGTATTAATTGTAAAAGAAAAATATAATTTAAGCTGTGTAAACCAATTCAAATTTTGATCATCTAACGTTAAAACTTATTTCAACACTTTCATCATTTGAAATAATTATCTCTATCTTTCATTCAGTTTTTATAATATTTGTATATATACACATTAAAAAAAATATTATTCGAAATTAAAAAAGACCACTTTTGTTGTCCTATTTGTGATGTATAACAATATTATTGATATTTTAATGCGACAAATATGGAAATAAATATCATTTTGTTATAAACAACTACATTATTTGTTTTTACAATTACTATTAGTTACTCCTCATGTCAAATATTAATGTTCCCAGTCTATTAAGTTATGAGTTTTATTAGTATCAGTCCTTAAAGCATATTTTAATTAAATATTTAAAAATATTAAATTTCTATTAAAAAAACACTTATTACACTTTTTTGTGTAATAAATACTTAAAAAAACATTTGTCACTTTTGTTTGTTTAAAATCAATCTTAAAGATCATTTAAGTATGATTAAAAAATCAATATTTTTTAATTAAAACTCTGTTAAAAAAAAGATATTGGTTAACATTTTCTTTTTCTTAAAAACATGTTTAAGCCTGGATTTAACAAGGTAAATTCTACCTACATAAAGCAGCAGGCAATATCCTTAGCTATTAAACTACTTAAATGGGTACTTTTGGTGTGGACAATGACTCTTGAGTATATCAAATGGTTAATGATTCCGCCTCATGTCTACGGCCACGCACAATACTTTTGTGGTGGTTATTTTAATTATTTCCGCGTCTTATTTGGTGGGCAAGTTTGCACCTTATCCCATTCTTTTGTTTCTTTACGTAGTTGGGATCCACATTTATTTTCTATACGTTCTCAATGCAGTGATTTAGTACAATTTGCAATGGAAATTAGCCGACATGTCTGTTCCATACAATGACCCTCATCATGACCATTTCAATCAATTCGTTAAATTTGGTATCGGGGAAACACTTAGGATTGAACATTGAAGAATTAAGATTGGTCATCATGTTGTGCTAATGTATCATTTTTGCTATGAAAATAGATATATAGAGACATTTTGTTTTTCTCTCTGGTAGTTAGAGATTCTTGTAGGACGTAAAAATAACAGCAAAGAAACTAATCGTACACCTATCACAAAATGGAAATAAATGAAGCTGATCTTTTTATCTCTTCCAAATTGTATTATTTTCTTTTCATGATGTTTCACCACGGATGAACCTCTTTTTTATATGAGTGCACGGAGGAACTTTACTTGAACTATACTGAGTAATTTCGGTGAAAATGTCTTTAGGGCTATAAGTAAACATGTCCAGATGCTATCCATGAAATCAGTTAAAAGTGCACTGCACTCACATGCATCATTGCTTGCCTTTTGCTTCGTCCATTCAAAGGCAATTCCGAATGCAAATTACAACAATATTGGCATCGTACATTAATTAATCTACCATCAAGAAACCAAAACTAATTACTCCAATTCTGAATTGCAGTGCTCACGGCAATTGGAATCTTGGACTCCCACTGCACCGCGTATACCTGACTTTTGGCTAGGTTGTATGAAATGTCATTTGTTTTATAATGATTAACAATCATTAGAGTATTAACAATGCAATTATAAAACTCAAGAAAAATAAAAGGTGGTAACGACATAATAAAATATTTTTTCATCAACATCAAGCATATTTGATGCAAAATTACCTTAATAATGCATCAATGAAAATTGTATTCAAGGAAAATATTCACAGATGCATCAACTCCTTCTACCTAAATAATGATTAACCAAAAAAGTGTACCCTCCTACCATATTAGGAGAATGAAAATGGTAAGGATGTGTACCTCTCCAGTTTTCATTCAGTCCTTCCCATGGCCTAATAAAATCCTCAACCTCATAAGACAAATCCAGAGAGCAAGATCTCAACCCCCTAGCTTCTGCAAGCAGAAGTTCATTAAGAATCTAATTTGAAACAAAAAATTAACCACAAAAGTAGTGTTTGATAATATGCAACAGGTTAGGCAATATTCGAACAAGATTATGCACTCAGATCATAATTCAATCAAGTAAGAAACATTATCAAAAAGTAGGAAGATGAAATGAATTAAAACTAGTCAATATTACTAACTGTACCATCTTCAAGATATATAGGATATGTGAAGTACTAATTAATGGGCATGAATCACTCATCCAGACTGTTCTTAAAATAAAGTCGTTCCCGTAAAACATTTGTCGGCAAAGTTGAATTGAAGTGTTCCTTTTGTAGCATGACTGTTAAATAATTATTCTTATTCAAGCAATTACTGTAAGCATGCTATATTGCTAATCAATAAATTGCAGCAATAAAAATGTATAAGTTAACCTAGTGCCGTAAATGTGGCACAAAAATCAACATATTGAGCACTGGTCCAAAACCCTAGGTGAACACAGCACACCTCTTACACCCATAAAAATATGAATAATAACTTGGTAGTTCAGACTTCAGACAATATCCTTAAACAACATCGGAATTTCACAAAGGGTAATTTATTTTCTAGCAAATCAAATCGCATATATATAGCTCCAGATGATTCAGAAACAATAGTTCCTGCACCAGCTGCAGCTGATCCACTAACTCCAAGTACAGGGATCAGGGTACCAAAAATTGGAAGCAAAGCAACAAGTTCTACGTCAATTGCTGGGAAAGCTACCACTATTCAATGCTTAAAACGAAAAATTCACTGCTGAACTAGCGACTATGATCTAATGGCCTCCTGCAAAGTGAAAATTCATCTTTAAATCAAGGTGAATTTATTGGCATTTATCGAATCAAAGACTAGTTCTTATCGTGTTGTTAATATAGTATAAACAGCAAAACCTTCAAGTTCTATCTCATGTAATTTTTAATAAATGACAATTTAAAGCAAAGATTATCACTTTTACGCACACAGGATGCCTCAGCATGTAACCTTGAAATCAAGGTGAATTTATTGGCAATTTTACCAAAGCAAAGACTAGTTCTTAACGTGTTGTTAATACAATATAAAGTTTATAAACAGCAAAACCTTAGATCAAGATAGAGTAGTTTCATATAAAAAAATTATGCCACTTGACTAATACAGTCAGGTTAAATTACAACGATTGGAAAGAGCCAACTTCAGATATGTTAAGGATTACAAAAAAACAAATGTGACCAATGCTAATGGAATCTAAAATCATGGGTGCAAGTAATCACAGGATGCTCCCTTCTTACAGTACCCACTTTCATAAAATTTACAAACTCGCTGCCCTTTGGGCAGAGGCCTATATGAGCCTCCATTTCCAACACCAAATAATGATTGCCTGTTATATGCAATTCTGCCCCTTCCAAAACCTGATTCCCTACCATGACCTTGCAAACCCCGATCTCTGGGTACAGAAAATCGATCACTGCCATATCTTGTTTGGCTGTCTCCAAAGGCTTGAGTTACTACAGAATTGTATGAATTTGAGCTCCTGTTTTCCTGCACTGCCGTTTGGCATACTCCCCAACCCATGTTTGCATTTCCTTGATCAATTCCACCCCATCCCAAGTGTGTATTCTCTGACCCAAGTCTCCAAGTTGTGTCTGTAGCCAAGCCCAAGGTTGCAGAGGATGGAACAATGGGTGAATTTTCTGAACGTGACTCCCACTGATTACCTGAAACACTAACATTCTTTGTACCCACCTCAACTTTAGAACTTCTTGAAGAATGCTCCCCAGATATTCTTTGATGATGATGTACATCTGCTTGCTGTAAAGGTTCCTCGGCTGCTGATGATTGAGATGGTAAGTTTAAATCAGCTGTGGAACTCAGTGCATCACCTTTACCTGCGTCAAGCATTGGACTAAGCTCTGCAAAATTGAGACAATCATTTTTAGAACCTTCAGTCAATTCCTCACCACATTTCATGATTGAAGTGGGAGATTCCAAGCCACCCAGTGATTCCATTGCCTCCACTTCTGCCAATAGATCTGAAACTGACTCATCAAAATCATTGGGTTCACCAATGATTGCCTGCCATGTAGTTGTATTACATGCTGGAGGGGAAGGGGGATTATGCAAATCAAATCCCAGCTTGTGCGGTGATGTCTTTGTACCCGAAACATGAGTTGATGTGGTAACCAAGCAATTGGAAGAACTATTTACATTGGTGTGTCTCCAGTTCTGTCCAGAAGATTGCCCTGAATTATCTTCACTATCTGATTGCTTATGATAACTCTGCCCACTATTACTCTGACCATCAGATGTCCTGTTAGAGCCATTATTTCCATTATCTTCAGAGTTTCCTTCTATCCCATGACCTTTCCTTAATTTATCAGAAGGAATCTCATTCAAGTTCTCAGGAAAGGCAGTTGAGAGTAATGGAGGAAAAACATGCAGTTGGTCCTGCCATCCATTGCTCCTAACAGATTCATCTTTACCATTAGACTGAGTAGAGGTATCATCCACCTTTTGTTCCCTGCTCTGCTCGATAATTTGGCTGTCTGAAGAAATTTCATTCTTTGATGCATTCCTCCCAGCATCCTGACTATTATCTTTATTATCCAAGGTAACACTGACACCTAAAGACAGCAACTGGCTGTTGAATGGCAATGACACAGTTTTGGAACACTTCCCACTTATTGCATCAGTCAACAATATAGAGTTATCTTGTTTATCATCTATCTTCCATATTCTGAGATCAGGAGGGAAGTGACCACTTTTATTCCAATTCCACAGCTGCAACATAGAAAAAGGTCCTTGAATCTTCCCAGTTGGATCCTGATAATGCCATGACCTATCACTCCTAAGATCATTAAATGGCTGTTCCAATCCAGTAGAGAGAAGAGATGATGAAATATCCACTGGAACAGTAGACACTTCTGATTTGGGAACTGCCTTAGTGCTATCATCGATAGCTGTATCATCATGGTTAATATGATTCTTTAGCACGCATATATTCCCCATTGGCTGGCGGGCAGCAGGTAAGTCTTGTGTTTTGCATCCCACATCGTTCAAGACACCATTCCAAATTTTGGGAAAAACAGGCCCCCTCTCTCTTCTATCAAATCCAAGATATTTTGACCATATATTGCCATCTGCATATTCACATTATAGTTACCATGAGACAAGCATTGACTGGACAAAAGCCAAGGAAACAAGGTCTGTGGAGTAAATGAATGCTACCTTTCTTCCTTTCATCAGACTCTCCATCATCTTCATCAGACTCAAACATTGAATCCAAATTGGGGTCAGAGTGTACATCCGGAATTTCATGCAGCCTGCGCTGACGTTCCTCCGGAGAGTTTAGTAGCTGCAACTTCTCCACATACTCTTTAAGCGTGCAGTTTAGTCAAGGAACCTTAATCATGCCCTTCAGCAAAAGAATAAATATGCAGAGAAACCAATCACCATCTAATGTGCATCTACCCATTTATTGCTTAACCCATCCTCGTAAAAGTCTCTGTTAGTTTACAAAAATTTCTAGAATGTGTGTCCAATTTTAAATTAAACAAAATAGTGCATCATATCATATGACTGCATAGTGCATGTTCATCTATAAAATTAGGCAATCATAAATTTAACAAACAAAAATGTAGTTTCCTCAAGAATATATAGACACACGAGACAAAATAACGAACAAATAAAACTACATTTTTTAACATGTAGCTTTAAATGCCTCCTACAATTTTAACATCCATTCAGCAACGAATCCCTAATGGCTTAGTAAACTAAAGAATATGTATTAGCATATATTTCAACTATGGATCATGAATAGTTGTAGAATTTAACTGTGCATTATTCAGATTTCCGTAACCACAGTTAAGTTTGTTTGGAGAGAAATGAACAACAGCGTAAGTAGTAAGCAGCAAAGGATATTCTTTTCTATGCCCCTTTTCACTTGCTCTATCTCGAAGATGATTAAGCCGCAATATCTCAGCTTCCAGCAACTAGATCAATAGAATAGCATTGTCATGTTAAAATTAAGACCAACAATATGCCAAGTCATATTTACAACATTAAAGGATGACATTGACCATGCTCAAATACACACACACACATATACACACAATTTTTCTAACATAAGCAACATTGCATACAATAAGTTGTTTATGGTAAATTTTTATTGAAAATTGTAGTATTTATCAAATATTGTATTTTCAATAAAAATTTACCATGTATATCATGTGCAATATTGCATAAGTTTTATATATATATATATATATATATATTGTTGAATTCTAAAAGAGGGGGAGGAGGATTATGCCTCTAAAATAAGAGCATTTTGCTATTGCAAATCAAATTTTTCACCAAATTCATGTTTTGAATTCACTTCACAATTGTTAAGTGGAAGATAATAATTATACTATACATGATTTAGATGTGAGAGGACAAGTTAAGAGGCCTGTAACATCATGGTACCCTATTAAATTTATGGATAGATTTTATACACTTTGAGTTTTCCTCAATAAAAACGAGAATCAACCATAAATTATATTTCTATTTCTATACCAGATAAAAAAAAGGAAAGGAAGTTACATCATTAACTCTAATTGCTTGAAGTGCCAATGCTTTGTCCAGAATCTCTCCCTATAGCCAACAAAAACAGTCATCTTAAACTCGAACAAATACCACACACTTTATGGAAGTTGACATAATATACACACTAACCACAGTCAATCTTTTTGACAGCCCATATTTTATACTCTGACGCAAACGCTTGCATTCATCCTGGATATAAAATGAATATATTAACCATTAGCAAACTCACATAGAAGAAACTTTAACTCTTATACACATTCTAGAGTTTCTTCAAAAGGTTATATGATTTAAGTAACAATTATTCACCTCAGCAAACTCCTGATTTGAAATTTCATCAATTGATATGACCTCCTTCCTATTTAAGTTTAAAATTTCAAGCTTAATATCAGTTGCTTTTGTGCCAACTTTGTAGGGTTCAGCAACCTTGCTTGTACCTGCACAGGTACCAAGACCAATTTCAACTCATGCAATTTACAATAAGCATAATTTACTATAAGTATTGGAGGCTGTAAGAGTTCATTTACCTACAACTTGGACAAGTCTATGCATATCTTGTTTTTGATCACTACTAGAGACTCTTATCCGCACAAATGAACCAACAACTTTCTCATGAATCTTTTCAATATCTTCAGTTAGATTCTCCATCAGAGCTTGCCGCAAGTAGATCAAGTTAATGTTGTGAGTGTCTATAGCAGCATATGCATCAGGATTATTTTGTGGCACTATCACATCATCCTTTCTACGTGTTTTACATCTCTTGTCACTAACTAACGCTAACTGTTTATTGTAATTGTTAATGGCTTCCCCTTCACTAGCAACAGCATCAATAATTCCTGCTCCAAAAGTATTTTCCACAGGGCCATTGTCTTTTAACAGAAAGTGGGATTCGAGAAGCTCTAGCATTTCAATGTGGCCAACACGTGCTTTTCCAAACAAATTTAATAGTCTAGAGTCACAAACAATTTGGGATTTCTGTTGAGGATCACGAAGATTATTTTTCTTTACATACTCCAGCAAGAGAGTCTGGACATCAAATTGAGACAGGAGAGATGTATCACCATTTTTCATATGTGCAACAAACTCTAAAAGCTCTTTTGATGCCCATTTTGTGCATTCAGGCAAAGACACCCCACTGTCACCACCAGAAGTTACCCTATCAAAGCAATCACCCTTGCTAAGAAGCTTCTGCGGTCTCTTGGACTTGTTGTTTTTTGAATTATTTGATTCTATGTCTATACAGGAGTTCTCAGAACCAGAACCTTTGTCATCTTTAAGATGATAAAGTTCATGGGGAGTTTGAATCTTACAACCCATAGGAGCAACACTTTTCCATGGGTTTTTAGCTTGAAGGAGCTCGTCAAAAGTTAAAGACAGCTTCCCTTTCAAATACATCCAATAAACCTTGAATAGATACTCCCAGCTGCTCTTGTCATCAAAATCCACTTCGCACTGTAAGAGTGGTACAGGGAAAACAAAGAAAAAAATTAGACCATCAAACAAGTGTACTTCATTAATTCAACCCCTCCCCCCTCCTTATTCATTTTCTGTCCTGTCATACACAAGTCAAACTGACATAGAAAGAGGAGAGGTGGGTGGGGGAAATAGTAGTAGAAATCCAGCTTAGAAAAGAAAGTTTAACGTACCATTTCCTTATTTCCCTGGGCACTGTTCTCAATCAGCATTATAGTTCTCATGCATACCCCACACAAACCTTTGTTTTCTCTGACACAAACAAAATCAGCATCTTTTGTACATCCCTTGCACAAAGAGTATGTGCAAGTATAGCACATATAATGGGCTGCCTTCTGACAAGCACTACATATATGCCAACCTGAGTAGTGCAAAAACAAATGCTTATTAAGAGAATGCTATGCAATTTATTACACACTAAAAAGTAAAAATATTAAAACATGAAACAAATTGCGGGGATTGATTTCTCAAAAACAAGGAGTAAGTGTCCACCAATTGGCAAATGCAATAAATAAGATACTCAATTAAACAAGATAATAGATTAATATCATTATAGAATATTGAGCTGATTCCGTAGAATCTAGGACAATTGTCAAACTCCAAATGTTTCTAGCAAAAACACAAAGAAGTGAGACGCGCATAGGAAATCCAACTATATTCCTAAAAACACGCAGGATTAGTAATCCAATTGCATGCCAATAAAGCAAAGTTTAACACACACAACATACCGCAATTCCACTTGGCCTTCGATCGGAAGAAGGCCTCGTCTCGCTTAATACACGCGGGATGATACGCTTTGGGACAACCCCTAAAAATGGAACGAAAAGGAGAGAGAGAAATAAATATTAGAAAAACAAAATCGACACCATTGATAGCAACTGAATAACGCATAAGCGACCTTAATTGCGAGCTATAGCCGAGCGGAAACAGAATCCACACAAACACGAAATCCATTTATAGCTAGCAATGATGACTCACCGGCGATCGCAGAGAACGAGGCTTCCACCGTCGAAGCAAATGAAACAAACATCCTCCTCATCCTTCTGCTGCTTCACAGGAGGAGCCGTTTTCGGAACGCCTCTGGCCGGACGACCACGCTTCCTCTTCAAAACGACACCGTCCACGACGGTGACTTCCAAATTAGGCACGCAACAAGCACCCTCTGTCTCCGCCACGTCAACATCGCGAGCTAGCGCGACGGGAACTCCGACCAGTCGCGACTCCTCCAAATCCCTAACAACGCTCGCCGCTGTTTCCGGCTGCGGTTGACGCGGTTCTTCCATGGGAAAAGAAGAAGAAAAGAAAATCGAATCGAATCGAATCGAAGGAAGAGAATCAATAATTGGGGAACATGAGAGTTGCGTGAGCGAAAGAAAACCCTAGTATCGGCAGGAATTGGGGTCTGGTGTTGTGGTGAGTGGGCACATGGATGGATTTGGAAATGGACGCAGATGAAATAAGGCACTGTTTGTTTTGTTGGTAATTTCGTGTCAAAAAGCAGAGAGATCCCGATTGCTGGAGAGAGAGGGGGAGAGAGAGAGAGAGAGAGAGAGAGAGTGTGTGCTACTCTGACCTCTGAGTGAGAAGACGGTAGCACGACATGGTCACTGGGGATTGGTTGAATGTGGGTAGCTCCTCTCACTCCTAAATTTTCTCTCTCTTTCTTCCTCCCTTTTTTTTATTTATTTTTTGCTTTTATTTTACCTTTTCTATTTTATAGCCATATTTAATTAATGTTTTCAATTTTTTCATCTCGTGATGATTCTGAGAATTCAAAATTGTGAATCGTCGTCAAACGCGACTCCTTTTGAGTACGCGATTCTGTGTTTCTCGAGCACCACGTGGTTAGTGGGTGCCGAGGAAAGGCCAGCCAATGTGGGATCCACTTGGTTATTTTGTTCAACGCCAAAAACACGATCCTTTTTTCTCCAACCAAATTAGTTTTTATTCCTTGTATTTTAATTATTACAAATATTCCCCGTTTTCAGTTTTTTAAAAAGAAACTACTTTTTGCTCCGATTTATATAAGGAAAGTTAGGCTTGGATTTATTCCTGAGGCACAAAGGGGATGTTCGGTGAAAAAAAAGTGGACTTGCTTGTTCCGCTTTGCCACTTGCTTTTCCATTTATCTACCTTCTTTTGTTTAATTCTTTAGATGGTATTTTTCTATAATGCCTACGCCATAATTCTTTCGGCAATTAACCTAAAATATTGAAAAAACACATTTCTGACAGCGCCAGCAAGAACTCTACAATTGACATCCCTGTGTGCGTGTGTTATTCGTTGCAATAGAATATTGTGAGATTATTTGCACACGAAAGTAAAATGGAATGCGCATAATTGTGATTTGCGATGCAAGTTTTACTCGCTCTCAAGTTAGCCAGGATAATTACGTCACTGTTATGATACCTGTCAAGAAGTTCTAGCATTATTTATGTGAAGATGCTATCCAAATAAATGCTTCGTTTGACCCGCGGATTGTGTTACTTATTATTAGAAGGATGCCCATTGAATTTGTTTCAAATGAAGAATCCCCTACCTATGGGTATAGATTTGTTTTATTCAACCTGATTTGATTGACAATTGTTAAAAAAAATATAAAAATATATTTTAATGCCACCGAAATTAATAGTTCAATTTTTAAGAACATGTATCATAACACAAACCACGAAGCTTCTACGATGATATTTTACTGCTTTGGACTAACGTGCCTTAAAACTTGAGTAAACTCCATTTGTGGAGTTAAACAATCAAACATTTATTTAATAAGTACTAAGATTTTGAATAACTCTATTATGAGTACAACATAATAATGTTATAATAATTAACTTATACATGTGTGTATGTACTCAACAAGGTTCTATTTGATATAATTGTCACATTTAAGTTTTAAAAATTTTATAAGTTTAAATTAATTTTTAGTTTTTATTTTAAATTTAAAGCACATAACTTACCATTATTTCTTTTGCTAATAATGGTAAGTTTAAATTAATTACAAGAAAAAATGATCGGTCAATGGTATAATAATAAACTTGTAATAATAAAAATATAACCACAATAAATAATAACGGTAAGTCAACAATAATATTAATGTTACAATAAATGTGACACTTTTAACTAATAATAATTATAATGATAATAACAATGATGAATATTGTTGTATTGGTAGTAAAGATTTTTATAAAAACTAAAAATATATTAAGAGTACGAGTAACATGAAATATATTTAAAAAATTTTAACTTGCAATTTTAAATAATACTAAAAAAATTGTTAAGAAGATATATAGAAGGCCTGATTATGTTGGAAGTGTGACTTTGTTCTCACTTAATCCATTTTTTTTGTGCTTCTCCCGAAACTTTGTCCCATGAGAATCAACTTAGCCCGAAAAAAATCTGTTGGCATTAAACACGAACCATTCCATGTCACACCTATTCTCAAAGTATTGAGATCTTGCTTTGATTTTCAAACTCCTTTTGCTGAAAGTGTATACAAAAAAGCCATCCATCAACGATGATCATGGTTGTAAATTTTGAATTGCTTGAATGTATCAATAATCTTTCAAATTATTGGTCTAGATTATTTAAATATATGATTTAAAAAATATTTCCTTTTATAATTTTTCTTAACTATTAAATACACTTTCAAAATAATGGAGAAAAAATCTTTAAATCAAATTATTTAGTTCTACATTGTCATGCGTCTACGAGTTTTTTTTATTTAAACCGCGATTTAAAATACTTGCATTGTATGTTTATATGTATTTTTTTACTGTTCATTTCATATTAAATATAAAAAGACGGATATACCTTTGATGTCCCATTCGGTAACCTATAAATTATTGTCAATGCAACTTTTGTTTACTTTTTAGTTAAATTTATGACTTCTGTTATTAATTTAAGCCTAGAAAATTGTTGTCAATGCAACTTTTTCTTATCTAAAATGTTTTTTTTTATACACCTCTGCTTCTTTCTTAAAGGAAGAGTGTTCAAACAAAATAGTATATAAGAATTGTCTGAAATTCAATACCTTGTTTTCAATATAAATTTAACATTATCACATTGCAGTATTACATTTACATACAGCCCAAATAATAACATATAAAAGAAATAGAGATAGTTTATATTTTAACATTGTCTTTTGAAAAAATTAATTTACAAACCCTTCAAAATTTAATTTTCAGAAATAATTAACACATTTTTTTAAAGGATGGGAAGGTTGAAAAAAGAAAGGCGATGCAAAAGAAAAAAAGAGAAAACAACACCAAAAAATCATTAGACATGGTAAGAGAACTTGGAGTTTGTTTGATTTTTCAAATGTTTTATGTTTCTGTTTTTTCTTTTTTCACTTTTAATTGCAGATTTTTTTTTCAGCATTTCCTGTCTAAATATTTAAAAATAAAAGCAAAAATAATTTCTAAAATTAAGTAGCCCCTTATTTTCCTCTTCTCGTCTTTTAGTTTAGGGTTTTAATTTCTCGACTCTTTTCTACAATGATAATATATGCATTTTTTCAAGCAAGCAAGGCAAGCATCACAATGTTGTAATTATTTTAAATATTTTGATATTAAATATAGTATATTTTTGGTGAATTTAGTGACACCAGACTCAAACAAGCTAAAAAATAATGCTATAAAGTTAGTATGTGATGTTAGTGATAAAATAAAAAATGTATCCTCATAAAAGTATTACATTATTTAAGTTCATATTTGTACTGATAAAATAAATAATAAGAAATAAATTATATAATTTGTAACGAAATATATTACTAGTATAACTAAAAGTTAACTAAACATTGTGTTTGAGAAGAAGTTTTTGGAGAAGGTAATATTTTTTTTTTAATTTTAAATTAAAAAATTACATATTTTTTTATAATATAAATACATTATTAATAGATTAAGTTTTTGTTAATATATTAATTTAAAATATAAAGTTGGTTCTCTCTTTACTCTCTTTTTTCAAACAATTAAATAAATTAAGCTTTATTGAGAGAGAAAATTGAGTTTGACTTATTTATTTTAATAAGTTAGATTTAAAGTTTGAGTTTGAGTTATTAATTAATTTATATATATTTTTATAAGTTTTAAATATTTTTTACTAATTTAGTATTAAAAAATTATGAATAAAAATAATATATTTTTTTAATTACATGAAAATAAGATTAAAAATAAATTTTTTATTATGAAAATGATATATTGAGGAAGCCTTGTAATGTAGTCATTAGAAATTTGTGTTTGGATGAATAATTAAAAGTTTTAGAGAATTTAAAATTTTAAAAAATTTAAATAACATTCTTTAAATTTTTATTATTTTAAAATATAATATTTAGATAAAATGATTATTTTTTTTATTTTTAATAGTTTTATTTAGACAGAGTAATTAAATTAATGACATTTAAAAAATAAAATTATCAGTACATTTTAATTAAATTAATTTAAAATATAAAGTTTATAATAATAATAATTTAACATGAAATTTTAAATAAAATATGCATTAAATAAAAAAATAAATTAAATTTCTCACTTTTCTGTTATAATTTAAACCTTTTTAATTTAATTCTATTAAAAAAATTTACTTAAATTCATAGAATTTAAAATTCTATAAATTTTAATATTCAAGCAATAAATTTTAACTCATAAAATTATAAATTTCTTAAAAAAATGAATTATTCACTTAAAATATCTTATTCAAACATACTCTGAATGCGTTACATTGGAAACTAAAAATAAATTTAATAAAATTATAATAATTATGAAGAATTTAAAAATATGAATTCTAAATAAATTGCTCAAGAGTAAATACATTTGAATTTAAAAAAAAAGTACCAATAAAAACTAGCTATATATACACGTTAATGTTACATTATAAATGAACTAAAAGTAATATTCATGGTGTTATGAAAATTTATAATTATAAAAGGATAATAGGAATTTTGTTTCAATTTTTTTAAAATAATATAAATTGAATCACTCTTTTACACGTGAATCACATCAAAAAGCATGTTAAATTATATTTCTGAAATTTAATGGAAAATATATTATTAAAAATACAATTAAATAAAAGATAAAATATATTTATATCAAGGAAATAAATTATATATATATATAAAATCAAGATAAAGTATAAGAGTAATAATAATTTAATACAATTATTCTAAAGTTACAGTTTATTATTATTTTGAAATAAATATATAATTTACCGTTTCAGTGTAAATTTTTAATATTCAAGTTGCAATAGTTTTTAGTTTTCTATTAAAAATATTTTTATCCAATAAATAGAAAATCAATATTTTAAATCCAAAAAAAATATATCTTATATATATATATATATATATATATTATTTCTATTGAAAATATATATTATGTATATTGATAAAATGTTTAACATAAAAATTAAAATATACTATTAATTAGAAATTCAAAAATTAAATTAACTAACTACTTTTTTACTAAAAATTGTAACATTAAAATTAAACATGGTATAATTTATAAATATTATATTATATGAGTTAAATTTAATCTCAAATAATTGCAAATGTATCTTTTACTTCTTCTTTAAGTATAAAGGCAATTAAAACTTAAAAGAAATAAACAATAAAATACATCATTAATTATATGGTAGATTTTATAAATATATTTATTCATCATTTATAAATTATTATAAAGTGAATATCTGTAACAAATGTAGAGGTAAAATATAATTTACTAAAATTAAATATTTATCAGTTGTTACCAATGCACTTGGCTGAATATCTGAAAACATAGTAAAAAAGTTGTGAATTGAGAGTCCTGGAAAATATGACAGAAGCTGAAAAGACTATCACTTTCACACTTTAATGACGAAAACTACACTGCTACGCAATTTGCAACCATCAAATAAATCCCCATTAGTTCTGCTGCCCACATGGCCCAACTAGATCGTTTGAATGATGAACAGTGTTGTCGACGAAGAAATAAAAGAATAATTACTAATGTTAACCATTTTTCAAATGTTTCATCTTCTTACAGTGACTTCATATGCCCATGAAGCAACTCAATACATAACTAGTTATAGGTTTAACTTTGATCATTTAGTTTATGACAAAATTAAGTGTATTTAGGCATAGTGATCCTCTTCTCAAAGTATTACTTTTAAATGAAAGGGAGATCGGTGTTTTTCTTTTAAAGTAAACATCTCATTTATCTCCTAGTCATGGTAACCTGACACAAATCTTAAATATTTATACTATCTAATGTTGTGAACACCTTTTATATGATTAAAAAAGACTTAACATTTTGAAAAATCAAATTCAAACAATAATAATGTTTTTATATCTCGTTATAATTTGTTTAAATGAAAATAGAAAAAAAAGAAAAATATGAATTATATAAATAAAAATAAAATAAAAATAATATATGTTTATATTAATTACAAAGTTAATTTCGTCTTCAAAGTTTATGTAGATTTGATTTCATTTAGTTATTTTAAATTGTAGCCCCTATTGATAATCTGACACACACACATTTCCATCCTTAATTGTAATTTTCTTATAAGAATATTAGTTATTGATATTTTTTTATCATGTATAATGTTGTATAAACTAAGAAAAAATAAATTCAAATAATTATCATAAAAGGCAAACATATAATTAAAATAAAAAATAAAAAAATTAATTATTATTTCTTAGTTTCTGTTGTATTTACTTATTTTACAAGAGAAACATGAGCGCTTGAAATAAAACTAATTAAATCAAAAGCATGTACTATTATTATCTTATTTATTACATACTTTTTTTCCTTACTCAAAACTTCCTAATTGTTGTATGAAAAGATATTAGACCGTTCAGCTGCAACCACTAAATTTCCCCCCTCATTTTTATCATCATTTTTCTGTCATAAATTTCAGTATAAAAATCACACTGTAGTTGAATCACATAGTTCTAAAAAGAAGACATAATAACCTTTTTTGTCATATGCTTCCACCACACTAAACCAGTTTGTTCTCTACCCCACTTTCTAGAGTTGAAGAATTTTAAAGATTTGTTTTCTCTTATTAAAGTTTTTTCCAATAACAGAAGGGATCCAGAATCAATTGACTGCATGCACGTTTTACTAATCCCATATCTTATTCGTAAAATACTTCAACAAATTCTGGGTACATATACTTATGGAAGCTAATAAGAGAGATGTTCTTTTGAATTGTTTTTTAATCCAAGGAAGCTTCCTAATGTCTTCAAAAAACGAGGATTATGGTGTACAAGGAGTTCAATAAAAATACTGTCTTTTATCTTCAAAATATCTAAATGAGCAGAACATAATTATCTAGAACATTTTTTTCACACTCCAACATCCTCTTCAAGAGAACCAAGAAACTCGTACAATTCTTCGACAATCTTCTTAAATTGAGATTCCCGCAACATAATTCACAAATGTTGTCCTGGTGGGAGATCTGGCCAATACTTTGATCATGCATCTTTACTCCCAACGTCTCAATATAGTAGTCGTGTTTATTCAGCTGCTTCTTACAATCTTTTAATATATTTAATAATAATCTTTTCCAACTCTTTGTATTAATATAATTTTAAATATTATTACACTTAATTTTAACTTTTTATTTAAATAGTTAGGAAAATAATAAATTATAACTTGTGAGATAAAAAATTTAAATTAAATATAATTTTTTTTAAACTTACACTAATTTAGTCTAAGAAAATTCTATTATATATATAAAACAAGTAAAGTAAGAGAAAAAATCAAAATAATCATGTAAGAACCACAATGTATACCAAAGTTATATATCCTCCCTCTAAATATGTAGACTTGGTTTATGACTTATTTACTGCACTAGATATAATAAGCATAGATAAGATTTAATAAAATTTAATGGCACGTGACATTTGATGTAACATTATATAATATACAATAATTCACAAATTTTTATTTTAATATTATATAAATTTATAATAAAATTTATAATTTTTTAAATTAAAAATATTTAAAGTTATGTATGAACTTATTAAATTAACTGCACTTATTTAATACTGTATGAATTTATAATAATATTAATAATTATTAAGATTTAAAATACTTAAACTCTTTAGAAAAAATAATATTACATAAAATAAATAAAATATATAAATAAATTATAACATTTAAAGTTTAAATTAAGTTTTATCGTAATACTTATTTTGTATATATATAATTTTTTAAAAATGATTTATAATATTTATATTTTATATTTAAAATACAATTTTAAATAAAAAAAATTAAAACACCGTGGAACTTACGGACATATTTACTAATGTATTACAAAATGTGCAAAAATGGATGCAATAATAATTTAATATGGTTATCTATATAAGTTTATTAAAAAAAATGAAAGGAAGGCTAATTTAGGCGCAGAAGCATTTGAAACAGAGAGAAATTGATTGAAAATGTGATGAGGGTTGAATTAAAAAGAAGAGAAAAGAAAGGTGCGTTTCCGTGGCGTGCGAGAGGGGGATCTTATACGTTTGCTGTGTTGGAAAAGGAAAACGAAGGTGGTTTTTCCGTCTAATCAAATTGAACCGAATCGAATCATATTAAAGGACCCTATATAAGCATTCAACACCTGCGTGTTCTCGCGTGCTTTCATCACCGAAAGTAACGGAGCCATTTCCTTTACCCAGAAAACTCCAAAATACCCTTACCAACCACTATGTTGCAGAGACCCAGACGCCGTTGCGAGGGCACAGCCATGGGTGCTATCGTGCTCGATCTTCGACCCGGTTTCGGAATCGGACCCTTCTCTCTCGGTAATTATCAATAGCCGTTTCCCTTCTATTGTTAATTAGGAATTCAAGAATAATCCGTTCGATCTCCGAATTTCTGTTCATTTCGTCCAATTGGATTTCCATGTTGCACCGTTTCTTCATTTGCTTGTTTACATGAACTTGGGTTTAAGAGATAGTTATTTTATATTTTGTTTTTTGACAGATGAGGTTATCGCTTATTCGGATTCATGTCATGTTGTTTAATTCAATAGTTCAGTCTTTTGACAATTGGAGTGGATGTTGTTTCAATCACGTATACTGTTTGAATTTTGTGACTATGTTTACTGACTTAGCTTGTTATCGTTTTCATATGCGGTTTAGGGATGCCTATATGTGAAGCATTTGCTCAGATAGAACAGCAACCTAACATATACGATGTGGTGCATGTGAAGTATTTTGATGAGGTTTGTCACATGCAATTATGACAACATTTGTTATTTGTGTTGTCTATGGTCGGATGAACTTGCACAAGTACTATAGTTTCTTCTATTCTGTTGAATTGACCGTCTGCTTTGGGCAGGCTACTGTCTGGTGGCTTTGCCTTTGTGACGCATTTGCTGTTATATTTCCAAAGAGGCATGTGTATATTTATCTTGAATTTATTCGACTTCATGCGTATCCAGGAACCCCTGAAGTTGGATATTGTTATTAGCTTCCCGGATCATGGCTTTCATCTTCGATTCGATCCTTGGTCTCAGGTGTTGTGGGCTTTTTTCCTCGTTTTGCTTTCAATGATTTATCTATTCTCTGTGTGTGTGTGTGAGAGTCCTTAGTTGGTGTAAACACGAGACAAGGTCTTTAATAGGAAGCACACGTACTTGGCACTAGTAGTAGTACCTTATGTTTAGAATTGATTTGTGAGAGCCATTACTAATGCTTTGGTAGTGCTGAGGTCTCATGAATAGTTACCAAAAGTCAACACAACTAAATTAGTTTCACATATATTTGAAAATGCAAATTCAGAAATTGTACAAAGAATTACTGCAGAAAATAAATGAGTACTGAACATTATACAATTCTCTTAGAGAACTGTGTACTTTTTATTTTTATCATCATTGAAGGTAATTTTCTGTCTAGACTATTAGAACCTGATAAGAGGTAAATGAAAAATATTATAAGGATCTTGTGGTACTATACCTGTGCCAATGTAAACTGTGGGACTAATGTAATTTGAGTTTCTAATTTAGCTATTATTCCTTTCTCCAAGTTCATTGGGGGTTTGGGGTGGATAGTTTGAAATTTTGAGGTATTTTCTACTCTAAGTCTGTTTCTTTTGCTACAATAATCTGCTGCTTGCCATCAAGACAGTACCATGCTTGGGAATATTTTTCAAGCCCGATATTGCTGCTTTGATTAGTTATGGGGCATTCCCTAATCTCTTTTGCTTCTTACAGATCTAAAGCTCCAACTTTGTTGTGTGAAGTGTGCATCAGTTTTTGTGCTTTCAATCATTTTAAGCTATGGCATAGTGCTTGTATTTATTGGTACCCATACATGACAAGATGACTCTGTCATGACAAAACTTTTCAATGCTATTTTAGAGACTGCGCCTTATTGAAATATTTGATGTAAAGCGGCTTCAGATGCGCTATTCTACCTCCTTGATTGGGTGAGTATTTGGAACTTTAATTTTAGTGTCTACTTATTGTAAAACACTATTGACTGTTTTTTCTATTTCTAGGGGACCATCTACTTTAGCAACTTTTGTTGCTGTATATGCTCTATTTGGGCCTACATATCCTGGAATTTTTGATAAGGATAGAGGCATTTACACTCTATTCTACCCGGTACGTATATATTTGGGATGTCAAATGCATAATAATTACCCTTTCTTTGTTCTACATTTCCACATTATTGCTTTCTGGTTTATATTTTTCTTGGCTTGGTCTTTAGGGGCTTTCCTTTGCATTTCCTATTCCAAGTCAATTCACAGACTGCTGTCATGATGGGGGAGGTATTTATTATATCATCCTAAAATTGAAATGTTGCATCAAGTTTTCTAATTGTAATATGTTAACTTTTTCTCTCTTTATTATGAAAGTGGAATTGCCATTGGAGTTTCCAGATGGGACAACACCAGTTACATGCCGTGTTTCTATATATGATAGCTCCTCTGGTAAGAAGGTTGGTGTGGGGTCCTTAATGGATAAGGCTTCTGCCCCTCCATTACCTCCTGGCAGCATTTACATGGAAGAGGTTCATGTTAAGGTTTGGGTTCTTTAAACCCTATATCAGTTTGTGTTTTTGCTTATTTAGTGTAGCACATTTTGTTTGCTTCATTTCAGAATTTAGAGAAACTTTCTGCCCCATTTGATTAGGTGGTTGTAATATTGTCATCTAATTCAGTTCTTTCTGTTATATAGCTGGGAGAAGAATTGTACTTTACTGTTGGCTCTCAACACATTCCTTTTGGTGCATCTCCACAGGTAAGCTTTATCTTACATTCAATTGTAGCCATTGGAGCTATGCTTTTAATGGGGAAATTTTCCTGTGCTTTCTGTTTCTTCTTTTGTCATCTTCCTCTCAATTCATATTCTTTTTTCTAAAGGAAATTTAATGTAATGCTTCCCGTTTTATGCAGGATGTCTGGACCGAGCTTGGACGTCCCTGTGGCATTCATCAAAAGCAGGTAACAGGAATTACTGATTCTTAAATGAAATGTCATTGGTTTGTGGGCTTGTTTGTGGAATTAAACTGATACATGTTGCAGTATTGTCTACAGAACTTGAGGAAACTTTCTGTGTATTTATGGTTTACTGTGGAAAATTGGATTTATGAAGATTTACAATTCAGCCATTGAGATTTTGGTGTACACTTGAGTCTGTCAGCAAGTATACAATTCAATTTTAACATTTTCTTTTGAATGGCAGAAATTCATTTTTAACTTAGCAATACCTACCTTTAATGTAATGGATCATGACTATACCTTTGTTTAGTAATTTGGTTGAGGAGAAAAGAGAGAGGAGAGAAGTAGGGGACTGGGAAATTGAAAAAAAGAGAGGAATTTTTGCTGTTTGGATGGGTTAAAAGTGAAAACATATGGGGTCAGTGGGGAAAGAAAATAGAAGCAAGAAGGTACATTTGATTCAAATTCTTTTTCCCTTTTGAGTGTGGGTAGAAAATGAAAAGAAAATGTGCAACTGGTCTATTTTCCAAATTACTCACACAGACACACTTCTGCCGTGTTCCACTAGCTATGAAACTATGCTTCAGTGCTTCAGTGAAATCCAGTATACTTTGAATTTTTCTTTGGTTCCTTTTCTTTTTGGAGATTTTTTATATGCAGAGCGGCATAGATATGGTACTTTTTATGGTTCTTGTATAATGTATGATATATGGAAGCCTAAGGCTTGATTTATGCTTGGAACATGTGGAGATCTTGTTTTATGGTCTGTCTACCTAATGCTTTAGTAGGAGTTTTGCTAGATCCCCTATGATTCATGTGATGTAGTTGACAAGTTCATATGGGTGAATACACAGTTGACAAGTTTTAAATTCCAAAAATTGAGTTGGGTCCAAACAGAAGTTATCAAGATAGAGCTAACAATTAAAAGAAAGTCTGATGCTTATCATTTCTTGTAATATTGTTAGTTGCTCTATCTTCATGGAGGAATATTGATGTCTCCTAAATATAGTTAGCTATTTCATTAAGGAGGCCAAACCTGAATTCTAGTGTGAGCATAAAGCAACGTATTCTATTTTTAGCTAGTAAACTGTTTGAATGAGTATTTTGTTTGTGTGAAGTCTGACTCTTAATTCTGTAGGTAGATCAAATGGTTATTCATTCTGCCTCAGATCTTCGGCCACGAACAACTCTCTGTGGAGATTACTTTTATAATTATTTTACTCGTGGTCTGGACATCTTATTTGATGGACAGGTATATATAGCTTACCTCATTCTTTGTTTCTAGACATAGTGACAAAACTGACAATAAAAACTCCTACGTGTCTGTTGTTTCTTCAGACTCACAAAATTAAGAAGTTTGTGTTACACACCAACTACCCTGGTCATGCTGATTTCAATTCTTACATTAAGTGCAACTTTGTTATCTATGGCTCAGATTGTAAGTAATCTTTTATTTTCATTGCAGTTTTTAGATTGGTCTTGATGTACAAATATGTAAATTTTTTGTTGTGAAATAAAAGAGAAAATTATTTCCCCACTTTTCCAGCAGTAGGGGGATCTTTCAGTGAAGTAAATAACAGCAAACAGAGGGTTATTACACCTAGCACGAAGTGGGAACAAGTTAAGGTGATCTTCTATGCCTCTCAAATTGAAATATTTAGTGGTTGCCCTTATATTGGATGATCTTTTTCGAGTTGTGGAAGATCTTTGCTTGAAATACATAAGTAATCTGGAGAAGAAAATTGTGACTAACATTTGATGTAGACTTCTTATAATGATAAATAGATGTTATATCATATATTAGCTTGTGATTGATTCTTTTAGGAAATACTTGGGGATTGTGGGCGAGCTGCCATCCAAACACAAGGTTCTGCAAGTAACCCCTTTGGTTCCACTCTTGTATATGGTTATCAAAATATTGCCTTTGAGGTGCGTCATTCACACATTTCTAGTGCTTATAGTGTCCTGCTTAATAGTTTAGTCCACTATGTCGCCTTGAAGAGATCACTGATATTTTGGTGATGTTAGCAGGTGATGAAGAATGGTTATATTGCAACAATAACTCTCTTCCAGTCCTGATGATGGTACATTTTTTTAGTGCATGTTCTATGCAAGTTTATGCTTAATTCAGATAGCAAGTAATTACCTATAGCTTAATTTCTTTCCCTTAAAAAATTCAACTGTAATTCCTATCAGCCAGTATTTGATCATTTGTCTTCATGTTTACAGCTTCAGTCATGCTAAACTTTGATTTATATCTCAAATTTTTATACTTGGTCCTTATTTTTACCAAATTTTCATCCTATTCTATGGGTTAAAAGTTTCTAATTGGGTTATTAAAATTATGAATTGTTTTTAATTGGGTATCCATTGTGACCATTACAGACATCTATCATGTAGTGATGGAACAATATCATGTACCAGTGACTGTTTTCAGTCACAAAGAGGTAAATGGATTTTTTGGTCGCCTGTTAAATCATATTTGTTTGAGATTTAATTCTCGCAAACAGGTTCACACATTCTCCAAGCTATATACTGCACTTTAGGAGTGTGATTCACTGAAGAAATTTTGACTCCTTTTCAATAGATCCTTGTTTGAAAGAATATTCAAACAAACATGATGTAGTCTATGCAGATAAAGTTCGCTGCCACACCGCACTGAATTGATGGATGTCTGATTAAACTGGTCATGATGGAGACTCAAATGAGAAACATTTGATAATTTTCAGGATTCAATTAGAATCTTTTCAACTACAACTAATTTAGAAGCTCGGCGCATCAATATAGTAAACGTATTTATTGTAGGTGATAAATAAAACCTGAAGTTAAAACTTTTTTTGCATTGCTGCAGGGGCTCTTGGTTACCCTTAAATCTCCCTATTTATCCATGATTTCTCAAGCTTGGCTATGGAACTTCACACGGAATAGCAGGCTAGGTTTTTACGGTCACATGTATAAATAGTTCAGCCATCCATCATCGTTATCGTGGCAATGGGCTATGACAATTGTGCAGCTGTGTAACATTGTACATATTAAAATCGTGGTATATTATGTAATTTTAACATTCAAATCTTGCACAAAGCTAATATAATCAATTCCTTTTGCTTTACGTTAGTGTTGCGAGATTTTCAGTGACTTTCCTTTGCTGTAATTTTTCTTGGTCAACCTTGCATTCCTTCCCTTCACTTTGCATTCCGTTTCAATTATGAGCATTGCTATTTCGCACAACTTTTATTTGTTTATTTATGAAACTGCTCTCGTAATAGGTCGTACAAAACACTTATAAAGCGTAATTTAGGCCATAATTTACTCAAAAATCTCAGTTAATGAATGGTAAAATGAATGTTTTCAATTTCATAAAGCATTTCATGGAAGCCATTCGTGTTAATACGGTACACTTGTGTTACTAAGCACTAATTGCATTCCACAGCGAATGTTACGAAATTTTTAACATCAAGAATTTCTATTCAAGTGAATATTTGTTATTTTTATCTTGAGCCATTTATGTTTAATTTGAGGCAAATTGAATCACTGAAACAAACAAGTATTGCTGTTTAAGGAAATATTTTTGTTCAAATTTCATAAAGCACTAATTCGTTTTGAAGGGGCAAACTTATGTCTTTATAATGTACTCCGTTTCCTGAAACTACTATTTTGGTTTTATAATTTTCTGTTTGCAGCTTCCTTTTCTTTTCCTGCGTCGACATCTTGTACGATTGCGGCCGCTAAAAGTGTTATATAAAAGCCTACCTTCATATCTATTTGTTCGTCCCAGTAATCTTGGCATATACTTTTTCTAGCTAGCCACCCCTCTCAACCACTTTTGTAAAAACACACACATTTGCATGTAATTTATGGATTTTTCCTGGGGTCATTTATGCATGCATTCACTGAATTGTTTGGTTGAGCAGTTTTTCTCAGGAGAGCAATCAGAAGTGGATGATACCTTGAACTTGAATGCCAAGAACCGATCACCCAACCCATGGTCCATTTCATTCTCATACGCAAGAGCCCTTCAAAATACGTGCCTCAAGAAGGGGGGAAGCAGATCAGAGAACGGGGAGGAGGCTCAAGCTGCTCTACTCGTCGTTCAAAGAAAAGTCCAAGCAAGGAATGTTAGTTAAGACTGCCTGAAAGTGGAAACCCAAAGGTCATAATTGCACTGCAACACGATTTTGACCATGTTTAGATGCAAGAAACCGGACCATGCTATATAAATAGTTATTTTTTAATTAATATACTTAGACAACTTATTAGCTTAATTGCAGTGCTTTAATAAAAAAATATAAAAAATTAATAAAAAGAACTCCTTAAATAGAAGTAGTTTTAACTGATTTATTATTCTAAATGACACATGCTAACTCTCGTTGGTAAGTTATTGAGGATCACGTTGGTGATTTATTGATGACCACGTCCCTCTATTCCTGATTGTGACCCTGTCATCTGTATGCAGGAAAACAAACATTTTTTGTTTTACAACTGTATTCCTTCCTCGGCAATGATACTTATTCCAACAAATTTTTAATTCTCGGCGAGACTGTGTAAAAAACCAGTACAGTAATTGATGACTAAATTCGCCCCAGTAGAAGGGGTAAAAATGACTTAAAATCACTGACAAACACGTGCAGTCAAAATTCCTGCTTTCATCATCCAATGACTCATTTTTCTTTCCTTACATTTTATTAATTTCGTCAAATTTTAAAAATAAAATGAAGGGTAAAGATTTATGACTATATGGAAAGTTGACTGCGGGGGATACATATTTAGGCTAGTGACACTCAAATGTTACAAACGATTACTGCTACAACGTTATCTGGCAATGCCAGACATGCTATAACTAGGTAGAATATTTATATTGCATGAAATGCCATTCTATGTAAACAACTGTTTTGCCTTGCTTTTTGTCAGTTTGCACAAAGATGACTCAAAACTATATACTTTTTCGAGTTATCTGTACCTACTAGAAATCGGGTATGTTGTTGTACATCATGCAACTCATATACAAATAAATAATTATATACAATTCCTGCCGGGGTCATGGCACTGAGATAGCCACAAGTTCATATTCTCTATGATCTTTTGCCTAACTTTGTGAACTGCATCAGGGGATGTGCAGTTCCTCTCATCACCTAAAGAAATTTCACAATTAGAAGGTTGCTATTGCACAATCATGTGTACATATTACAAATGACTAACACAGACATTGGTGGCATGATTTTATTGCTGGTTTCTTCCTTAATATTTGGTTATTATTTCAAATAATAGTTATCTTCTTTTTTATAAGCATGGAATCTACTTGCTGATGTGTGGGAGAAGAAATCTTGGTGATCATGCAATTGAAATACTTATGACAACCCAAGTTGACTCCTAAAATTTGAAGGTTCAAGATTGGTGACCTAAAACATATAAAACGACAATAATCATTGAAGAGCAAAAATTACACATACCTTCAAGGTTAAAGGGATCTTGAGGACATCCTCGCATGTCAGTTCCATGGCCACAATTGTAACATGTGATAGTGTATGAAGGCACTGAAAGTTCAGCAGTGAATAGGCAGTATTCAGTTAACAGTACAAGAACGTAGTAATTTAGCACCACACATCAAAAGTCTCAACATTATGTATTTTATAATGTGACTCAAAACTCCTTCCTTAACCTAAAAAAGAATACTACCAAATTACACTTGAGCTATATCCCAAGATCATGCAAATATGACAAATCTGACTAAAACAACGGCATACAGCAAATTAAACAATACTTGGTGTAACTAACAGACATGACGAAGTCACTAAATAGCCATCAAACAAAATGTGAATCCATGTTGGATTTGAGAGAAATGCAATTTGGATAGATTGTCACCGTGATAGTGCAAATAAAGAATGTTATTCTCTAAATTGATAGGTAAATTCCAACTCACTATCAGGGGATGAAATTTGTTTTGATGCATGACGCCAAGGATCTTGTGAGCCATTTGTAAATATTATTTTGGAACCTGTCCATGCACATTATGTTAGGATAATTGAAATGAAACCAAAATAAAGATGATTATATAATAGTATATTCAGAATAAAATCATAAAAGAATGAAAAATATGAAGTCTCCAACCCTAATATGACATAAAGAAAGTAATATGTAAAAGAGTCGAGTACTTGTTAGTGACTCCCTCATAATTGCAAGTACATAGTTCAAATTAAAATATATAGACATGAAAGAGACATCCATATTCAAAATGACTTATAAGGTCAAGATAACAATCATCGAGGCATGATAATGATAACATTAGTCCAAAGGATAAAATAATGAATGTATATTATAATAAATTTGGAGAAAAGTAACAGCCGTGTAAGCAAGTTAATTTTAATTTTTGCACAAATTATTAAAATTAAGAATAAAGAGAACAAAATGAATAAAATAAAAATTTGGGCCAAGGACAGTTTCTGACCAGCAATTTTTGTGCCTCCATAATATATATTAGTTGCATCCACGTCAGGAAAGATACCTTCTCCAAAAACGTTTTTGCAAAGGTCCAAATGGTATCTACAACATATGAGAAATCATTCTATATAAATTCACAAGATCATGAACCAGAAATATTAAAGCATAGTTTAACAGTGATAAAAGTGAAGAAAGGAATATTGTCAACAAAGGACTCATGAATAGTGGTAATAAAGAGATTGCCTTGTGTCAACTTTTGATGAGCGCACACTATCATTTGAGGGAGCCACCTGAAAGTATGCAACTTCAGTGCAAACTTGAAACCACCATAGTCTATCAGAACTGTTTTCACTGACTTCAGTGTTTTTCAAGTACTTTTGGTTATATGTTTGTACATTAACACCATAGGTTCCAAGGTAATACTCTTTGACATACTTGGCATAAGCACCCTACATAGTGAATCAAATATTTGCTATCAGACGATAAGTGACTAGGGGGTGCAAAGACATCGGGGCAAAGGCGCATAAAATGGAATAAAAGCAATCATTGATTAACAAAATATTATTTTTAGACAAAGCCCCAAGTGATTAATGAGAAATAATAGTAGAAAAGTTATGTACTAACTACAGAAGCTAGACCTGATCAGCATATTATGCCAATCAAAATTCCTGAGTCTTGTTATTTGATAAAATACCATTTCCAGGTATAGTTTTGACGATGAAGGTTACAGCAGTGCAGGAAATATAAGCTAGTATGACCAATTGAAAACAGATGGAAAAAAACTGGCTAAGTAGAGATGCTGTAAGAATTTAAGCCACATGGGCTACACATCAACATTAATATTGAATCTAGTATATGATAACAGACCTTCAATAAGGAGGAGAGTACAGATGTACAGTGCAAAAAATAAGCAAGGCTGTGGGGGATTAGAACCAGAAGGCAGAATAAATGTAACATATTAACATAATCAAATATAGTTAATGCTGATTGATTTCATTCGGTCTTTAAGGTGGGAGGCAGTTATGCATATAGAAATAGGGGGGAAAGGGCTTTGGTAGGCGTTGGGGATTGTGAGGAAATTCTGGACAGGAAAGCACCCAGGTCTCTTGAACACTTGGTATCCATATACATATCTGTCTTCTTTTTCCTTCCTGCTCCCTGTTCTGAGACCCACAATGTTACACAACATGCAATGGAGAGTTCAATGCAATGAGAATTCTTAGTCTTTACTATTTATTTCTCTGAACCATTTCTATTAGTATATAACCATAGTCTACATATTTCCAGTGGGCCAATCTATGCTCTAACTATATACAATTTGAGCTAAACAAATCCTGCATTACAGCTGTATAATAAGATGAAGAATTTTACATTAGTATATTTTGATGACAAAGGAAAAATTACTCACATGCAAACAGAGACCCAAAAAAATAAAATAAAAGGTGCGTTAAAAGTTTTTCATCAAAGACATGCTCATTGAGGATTGAGCCATTTCATTACATTTAGGCAAAAGTCACTAGATTGAAAAGCATACCACCAAATCCTCTCCAGCCTTCTTTGCTTCAACAAGAGGCTTGCATAATATATCTGGATTTCCATATTGAAACTGAAATAACCAGATAAAGAGGAAAACAGCATGACAAATTTGAATATAAGATATTGCAATGAATTAAAAAAGAAAAGGCAGGAGTCATATCAATTACAGCTGTAACAGCAGCATCAGCCAAAAAGTACAAGAAGTCACCATCAATTTCAAGCTGCAAATCATTAGAAGGTCAAAATACAATATGAGAATCAAATTAGAAAAATCAAGTGGGGAATGTGACTTATGTCTGAGGTAAAATATAAAATTCTTTAGCAATTGTAAGAAAGGAAGAGAGCATACATCAGCTGCATTAAAAGAAGCCTTCAGTGCCTTTCTGTTAATTTCCAGTTTTTGTTCAATAAGTTGAGTGGTTTCTTGTAATGCAGCTTTACATTCAGCACCGGCTGACTCACCAATCTGTATATTAAGGATAGAAATCTAAAATTGACTTAAAAAAATAATAGGGAGTTACATGATCCATAGCATCTAGACTAAAACATATAGAAATAAAAAAAAGATGGTCATGATTGAAAAATCAATATCTTCACCTGCTTATCAAAGTCTGTGAAGTTGTAAACAGCAAGAACAACTGCAGAACTTGCAAGACTTCCACATGTTAAATGAGGAAACTTGAGACGGAACCACGCACTGAGAGCCCCAGGATATGAGACACCGAAAGCAAACCAGGGATTTTCACTGTTCGTTCTATTAAGCTTTGTATTTAAGGAATCCTACAAGAAAAATACAATAAGCATAAAAATAAAAAGAACAGTCTTATAAATACTACGTAGCATCCTTTACGTCATCATTAAAATCTAAAAGAAAATAAATTAATTAATAGAAGGAAAAATGATAAATCAACACAAAGAATATGCTTTATTGCTTTATCATGCATACTTTATGTAGTATGACAAAGCATGAGTACACTGTGATGGCTGACAATTATTGTACTATTTCTCTCCTGTTTTTTTGTAAATTTTGCTCGATCTTACAGCCTTTTACAAGCATGAGTGCTCTATATTCTCTATCATTCAAACCCTTATATTCTTTTATATAACTTTTCAATGTAAATTGTTTTATCTTATTTTAATTCAAAAGAGCAACAGGAGAGTATCTTTAACTATTAAATTAGCTTCTCGAGGTATTTATTACTTTACTCGCTTCATTTCTGCCAACTTGACATCAGAAAGAAAGGTTATAAAAATTAACTTGCCTGATATTTCTGGCGGAAAACAGCCAAATCAAAGAGCGCCTGCTTGGATGAAAGATATCTCAAATTATTTGTTGTCAGAGATTTAAATGGAGAACTCTTTCCATAATAGCGATGCTCAAGAGAAACCACAGCTGCTCCAAATTTCTTTGCCAGAACCTATAAATGTTCCAACGTATGAAATTTTTTAAGATTAATATATTAGCTTCATATTTAGAAGAGCGAGGCAAGAAACAAATGTGGACCAAGAAGATTCATATCAGTGTCAGTCTTGTTGGTCACGAAGATACATTCGGCTCAAGGCAAGAAACAACTTACGACAAATCTTTGCTCTTGAATGCTACCTAACAAAAGCCATCAAAGTATGAGAATACAAATGTGGACCAAGAATTGTAACTTACACTGATATAGTCATTTTTTATCCCATTGCATGAATATTCACCACAGATTACCAAAAAAATTGGTCCATCTGGAATCCGGAAATTGTCAAGGAACTCATAGTAACGTTGCTGGAATTTGCGGTGATCCTGCAGAGCATTTGTGCAGCATACATATAAGCAACATCAACCGCATCACAATTTGATAAGTAAAGGTGGTAAATAGATTCTATGAATGGAAATTTTTAACTCTCAAATAAGTGCATGATATGAAAAGTTTCAAGCGATTCAAATTCAACTAGTGTGTACGATTCAAAGTAGTAATTATCTACCTATAAGCACGTAATATTTTTGAATCACCACAAGCATCAACTAAACCTATTCAGAATCATTATATATGATCTACACAATGATGAAGATCGTGAGGTTGAATAACAGAACATCCAAGCCTTCTTTTAGAGGCGCTTGGTTGCTAGTGTTGACATGCAAGATACACAGAACCACGGGATTACCAGACATCCACATTCTTTATATTTTTGTTAGCATTCATTATAACTTCAAACAAGGAATCTCAACTTAAATATTATAAGGGCATATAGTGATAATAGCGCAACAAAGACTGCAAAGCAAACGCCTTCCAAGCTCGTCAAACCAAGACTACACTATTTAAGGTGGAGATGAATGAACAATTTAATGTAATAAACTCTTTTTAAATAATAACGTGCTATAAATTCAATCATGAAATTTATTGAAATAAATTAAAATAAAATTATTTTGGTAAGTTATAAAAAACTTAAAATAAGCTTTAAAAAGTTTACTTTTTTTATAAGTTATTCGTAAGTTTTTTCAAATAAATCCTTAGAACCGAATGAAAAATGGTTGGATGAAGATGAAGTAACTACAACCTAGTACTTGTTAATTAAAAATACGTTCAGTTACCGAAATTAAATCTCACCTACAGTAATAAACAGCATAAATAAACGGTCTCAAAACTTAATGTAGAAATAATTAAGAGAAGTAATTAAGGTTTGGTGAAATCGCTGAGAATGTGATTAGTGAGAAGAGAAGAGTACGTAGGGAGAATAGTGGTCGAGCGTCTGTGAGAACCACAGCTCTTGATCGGTTAGATACTTGGCGCTCTCAGTTACAGCCAAACGACTTGGCAGCGCGTGAGGTGCCCCAGCCACCGTCGGAAACAACAGTAACGGAAACACCAACAAACACGACATCATCGTCAACACCCATTCCTGTCTCATCGTCGTTTTGGACACGTTGTCTCCTTTCCACACCGTCCAAGTTTTTCTTGCCAGCCTTCGAATTGAATAAAAATAATCTTCGACCTAAATCGCAATTTATGCATTAAGAGCATTTAAAGTGCAGGATGCTTAAGGTTTTTCTTAAATGTAAGTAACGATCATTTTTTAAAATGTATCATTGGAGTTGGAGAGGCATGTGTTGTTATTTTAAATACAAAAAATATTTAAATAATTATTGTTTAACCCAAAATACAATAAAAAGCTAGTGACGTATGAAAAATGTGACATAGTTTAGGGAATTTATTTAATTATTTATAACTAAAACAAATTACATGTTAATTCTAAAATTGTTTAAACCATTTTAGATAATTAATATATTTAAAGCATTTTAGATAATTAGGTGAATAACAAGTCTCTCTCATTCTTAGATGACTCACCATCCGACTTTCAAATTTTTTATATGATATCTAAATTTAAAAAAAATAAAAAACTCAAGCTTAATAATAATTTAAAAAAATAGGTCGAATAAAACAAATTAAATTTCTGGCATAAAAAATTAATAAAAAGCACAAGTAGTTAAAAACTTAAAAGAAAGTATTGAAATATTAAATTTTATACTAATAGGCTATCAATAAATCAAATATTATATAACTAATTAAACTTTAATTCTAAAAGTACTTTAAACATTCTAGAAAATTAAGTCATTCAAACTTATAACTTTTTTTTATTACTATTAGATTAGGTTCTTTTATTAAAATACAAATTATAATTTAAGTAACTTGTAAGAGTTATACTATCGAAGACATTTTTGTTAATATTACTCTTTCAAATTTTATTCTTTGACTTTTTTTCTAATTTTGATAAGTGTTAAATAATATTTCTTTTTTCTTGTCGTCAATTTCATTTTTCAAAATTTTCGTTGAAGAGTTATGTGCTGTTATTTTAAATAAATATTTTTCATTTAAATTTTTAAATAAAAAATTAATAGCATATGAATGTGTGAGATAATTTAAAGGATTTACTTAGTGAATTTTTAAGAGTTACAGTGTTGAAAGTAAAAGTTGCTTTAGTAATAATAATAATAAAAAAAGTGTTGGCACGGGACTTAGATAAAAATTAATAAAAATATACCTTAAGGAATTTACAAAAATTTTACTATTAAAGTTGCTTTTATTAATATTTACTCATACAAGTTGGTTAAATATAATTTTTTTTAATTTCTAAAAAAAATTAAATAAGTTATTTTTTTACTAAAAATGTTAATTAGATTTTAAAAAAAATAGATCTTGTCTGTTTTCTATTTTAAAAAATAAAACTTATTTGTTAACATAAATTTAATTTTTATTTTTTTCTGAAAAACAGTATTTTAAAATTGTTCTAAAATAATTTAAAACAAAAAAAAAACATATTGTATTTCTCTCAAAGACTTTTTGTTTTCCCCTCAGCTTCTCCTTTTATCTTTGCTTTGCTTTTGTTTTGTTATTTGTTTTATTTTACTCCACACTCACGTTTCACAATTTTTTTTCTAAAGTTGGTTTCCTTTTATTTTTAAATATTTCTTACCCCTCATTATGTTTTTTTTTTTCTTTTTGTCTTCTTTTGTTGTTATAAAAACATATATCCTCGCTGATACCTTCTTTACCAATTACCACAATCGTTCTAATTACTGCAAGATTACCACATGTAAAAAAAACATTTAGACAAGAAAATATTTTAATCAATATATAATAATTTGGAAATTTCTATTACCGACAATATTTGTTAGTGTTGACATAACTGCAACCATATATTCATATAGAATAACTATAAAATATATTATGAATCCCCATTGTTATTCACAATAAATAAAAGAGGCATTTAGCAAGAATAAATAAATAAACACAGGCAAAAACAAAAATTTTGTCCCGTATTGTATTTTGTGGCCCTTAACTCTTGAAAGCTGTGCCATTTGTCTTCGGGTGCAAAAAATTTTCTTGCACAGCATCTTGTAACATGCGATTAAGTATAGTATAGATCTTTAATTTGGTCGTTTAAAAATGTTGTATTATATTTACATGCACTTTTATAGTTCATTTTTTTTAACTATGTCACTCATTTTATTTTAATATTTCTCTCCCTTCCCTTTTATATCTTCTTAATAATAATAATACAAATTATATAAATAAAGAATTTAATAATGTTTTTTTTTTCTTTCTTAAATAAGAGAATAGTGTAAATGGTGAATAAAAATAAAAATATGTTAGGCTAGACTTTGCATAAATAAGTTTGATTTGTTTAATAATTTGAAACCTGAGTATAATATTACTTGTTATAGGCTTTTTATTAAGTTTAGCTGACATATTTAAAAGTATAATTTAACCTATTAGCCTTTTTAATAACTTACATTATATTGAAACATTTAATAAGTTATTAAACTTCTTTATAAATAAACTATTAAATTATCTAATTAGGTATTTTTAATGATAAATTAGAATTATTTTACATATAATTTAAGCATATTCAACAAAATCAATGCCCACCCCATCTTTGTAGGCTACTTCTTAGGCTAAAAGTACTCTATGCACCCTACAATTTTTGCACATATAATAGTTAAGCATTTAAGAACTCTGACAAGAGATTAATTAAAATTTACTTAAAATTACAAAAAAAAAAATGTTTTTTTTAAATTAATATTTTTCTCATATTTTTTAAAATTTTAACTGAAAATTAAAAAAATTATTAAAAAATGTATTCCTAACATTACTTTTTTCAAATATATATTTTCATCTTCTTAAAGACAATCAACTGCTACCATTCCATTGGGAAAGTTGGAGTGGTCGGATAATGGCAGTGAAGTTCAATGTTTCACCTTTTTTGTCTTCCTTGTAGCTGTTGGTTTCTTTTACAAAGTAATGTTTCCTTATCTTCTTTTGGAAAGCAATTTATCTCTTTCTTAAACTTTCTAGTGATAAATATTTCAGAATCTTGAATTAAATTAAAGCGTAAGAGAGAATTAAAAATGAAAGAAGTGACTAGACAGATACGTCACCCATGCCAAAATTTTAAATAAATTAATTAAAATGTAAATTAGGTACTATTTTAATGTTGTTGAATGTGACTTGATTCTTAATAGGTTTTTTTAGTAGCATTGGTTTTTAATCAATGTTAGTTTTTTTTTTTTGTCTCTTTTTTTCATTTATTGATTATCCTAAATTGAGTTTAATTTCTCTAAAGTAGAAAAATATATTTTAAAAAAATAAGAGCATGTTTGATTCTCTTTTTAAATACACTTTTCTTTTTTAAATAATAAAAAATCAAAACCAAATCAAGCAAGCTCTAAATGATTGAGATTTTTTTAAAATAATTTTCACATGCAATATATTTTATCAAAATTTCTGCCATACGATTACTGATGCCTTTATCTAAAATAGACTGCTAAACTCAAATCCTATTTAATTAGACCAATTTATACTTATCATGGATGTGTGAAGTAAGCATCATATCTCCTTTGGTAACTCTAATTGCATAAGCTAAAATTCAAACATATTATATCAGAACAATTTTTAGATATTTTTCTTTTTATATTTTTATATACACTTTGAAATTTATGCATTATTCTATCCTATCATGTTTTAATATATAAAATTTTAATTTCATATATATTAATTTTTACAAAATATACAATAAAAAATTATACTCAATTGCTGACCAGATCCAGATAATATATATTCGATTTTCTTAAAATAAAATTTTGAATCTCATTAAAAATATTATAAATGTTTTGAATTTGAGCAAGATTATTTTCTGTAGACATTGTGATATAGGCAAAAGATAAAGAAAAGAGGACACATTAAATTGTTGAAAATTACTGTTACTAATATTAGAATCCGTACACATATCGTAATTATGTGTGTCATGTAAACCAAAAACGCCAAAATATTGAAGATTTGGTTCCCCGAATGGTCGAGAGAGTATTTTAAGCCGTGAATGTCTTTATCGTCGTTGTTAAATCATGCGTAGTCTCTTTTAGAGACAGACAAGTACTAAATTATTTACAAACCAAAGCTGGAAAAAAGCCACACTATCTTTATTTTTATCTATTTGTCCATATAAAAAATTAAGTATATTTTAAATTGTTATTCTTCCTTTTATACTCTTTTGTTCCTATGAAATATTTATATTATTTGAATAATTTACTAGTCAAAGAAATTTACTGATAAAAGATAAATTAAGAAGTTTAATAATTAATTTCAACAAAATGATTAAATTCTGTAATCTATGTAAATTTTCCTTTTGCTGCACAGATAAATAAAAATGAAGGTAACATAATTCTATACTTCAAAGACAGCTATAATTTCTACGATCAGATGTAATGTCGCATTAAAAAAAAATCTCTTTTCCCCCGAATTGTCTGGGGGACGTAATGACATAGAAAACTGAAACCAGAAACAAAAGTCAACAGTCAACACACAATTCATTGAAAGGGATCATAGATATACAGTTAACAATGCTTTGCAGTACAGATATGATGTGTTGAACTACCAAATTAAATCCCTACAAAGGCGAACAAACTCTTCAAAAGACTTTGGTGCCTCAATGCCTCATTTTGCCATTGGTAGATTTTTGGTTTAGGATCCTACTAGAACTGCATTGCCTAGCTGCACGATTTATGGCTGTCAAAACAAGAAGAGCATTTCTGAGAATTATATATATACATCAGTGCATGTCATGCATACTTTTAACAAGGATTTGTTTAGTACAAATGTTACAACTTACAAGGTTCTACTTTCATGCAGCCATTAGATGACTTCACTGAAAGAAAGTTGAACGATATATGGTATTGAAGTGAGTAAAAAATGGGGAAAGGGTGTTCATTTATTGAATCCCTGCTTCAGAAGGAAGAAATATGAAAAAGTCCAAAATAAATTTCATATCTTTTAAGGCGATATCTGAAGACTTTTCAGATCCACAATTACAATTTCATATTGATATTGGCATTGCTATGTTAATTTCTGTTGGTTGCAGTAATGTAAGGGGAATTGCGCGCAAGGGACCAGAAGATGTTCCTTCAAGTAAAGCTGGATATTTGATCCCACAAGACATGATTAAGTGTGCAATAGTGGAAGCAGAACCAAGTATCAAGCAAGGTGGATGACTTCTAATTCACTACGAAAACTAGATCAAAATTTGGAAGACAGAATGACTACATGGTAGAAATTCCATTTATATCGTAAAGTAGTTTAACAATCACATCACATGACATTTCAATGAGTCCTATATACCAATCTCATAACTATTTAGCTATTTGATCAAGTTTACAACATTTAATGCATTAAAGATTAATTTAACACCACTAACAAGAAATTATCCATATTCTAGTGAGATAGATTTGACGGGTTTAATAATTTTAGTTTGCAAGTATTTCAGTAGAAGAGTGCTATAAGGTACAAAAAATGATAAAACGAAAATTGTAATAAACACATGTCCATGTTTAACAGGTTAAGTAATTAAGAAAAAAGGGGCAAGTGTTTTACAGAAATCATGGGTGGTTCTTTGTTTACAGTTTTCATACTGCTTCTGTCAAAAAAATTTCGTACTTCATTTCTCATTTTGGTATCCCACTTGTGCGAAACACATTTACCAGAAAAGAAATTTCGAACTAGGAAGGCAAAATTTACTTCCCACGCACTCTAACCTGATTATTTGATGCTTGTTCATGTATTCTGTTTGGCTTCATGTTCAAATCAATCATTTTAGTTTCCATCTTGGTATGCCCATCTGCATCAGGTCCTGGCGTTGAAACCAGAGGCATCCTGTGATTTTGTTGCTTCTCTCCCATTTTTAGTTTGGGAAGTGGAGTTTGTCCTCTTTTAGCCTCTCCTGGTTCCAGTGGCTGTGACGCCGGATTTTCAGCATGACTAGATTTATCTCCTGGAAACTATGGAATAAGGAGATATTAGACACTTGAAAGGAACCCAGAGATATCAAGATAACGAACAAGTAAAGCTCATTTTAGTGCCTGAGATTGCAAGCTTTTGAACATTTTAATTCCTCACTCTACTTCTTGACTTTTCAAAATGTTATTCACTTTAGGTTTTTCTATTCTATTTTTCACATCAAAGAGTGAATGACGTTTGACAAAGTAAGCTTTTGCAAAGTTAGAGACTAAAGTGACACCAGCACTTACACAGGTACAATTTCAGGGACTAAGACGTAGATTTATCTTGTAAACAAATTAAGACCAAATATGCTGGAAAGGAGAGGCTCACCTCAACTCTCTGCCTGAAAAGAAGATATCGTCCATGCGTTCTTTTACCTCCGACATGAACTATCATATCACACTGCAAACAAAGGGAACTTCCATCTGTCTCGCAATAGAAGAAAGCTACATCCAGAGTGAAAAAGAGCAAACATATAAGCAATAGGCATCAGAGGAACCCTAAAAATAATAGAAAGATGAAACTACTAACCAGGTGCATTCTCGCATATGTCACAGCGAGGCACATCACTTGGACTTGCAAGACCAACTCTCACATGCCTACTAGCTAGCTTATTGCACATGTGAACCTGTCAGCTCATAAAGACTAAACTTTGAGCCATTGGTTGAAACATGTTACCACAATAATCAATACCAAAATAAAGCAAAAACAAACTTCAATTTCAAATTTACACCAAAAGACCAAATCGGATCAAAGCACATATATAAAGCTGGAGGGTCAAACTGCAAGCCCCTCAATTCGTTACCCTCAATCAATTTCCTCTATCAGTGAACTTGCCCACGATTTCAACATTAGTACATTGCTAATGAAACATCATAAATAATTGCGGCACACTTTCAGAAACATCAGATTGTAAAATTCAAGTCAATGATCTAAAGGAATCAATAAGAATAGTGAGCATCAGAAAACAGCAAAGAAAATCTGAATGATACAATTAGAGATAAAATAAAATAAAACCTTCTCATCACATGCACGACACAGCGCAGCCTCATCAGCGGCGCAGAAAACTATAGCGGCCGCACTCTCACAAGCGTCACAAAGCGTTCGCATAATTGAACTCTCTCACTTTCATCGCTTCAATCAACAAACAGAAAGAAAGTTAAAGTCAGACACATAAGAGAAACACCCTTCTTTGAATAAAAAGAAGAAAAAAGAAAAAGAAAAGGCCACAGAAGAAGACAGGTTTTCACCAAATCCATGTGGGTAAGATAGTTTTGTTTTTCTCTATGTTGTTAGTAGGGAAGGTGAAGGTGGTGTGCTTAACAAAGATGATGATGATGATGATGATGATGGGGAAGGACTATGATTAGAGTGTAGGATAAAAGAGAGGATTTTGGAGAAGTGGGGGACCTTGGAGGTTGATTCCAGAACTTTGCATTTGCAAAGACACAATAAATGAGTGTTTGTCAACTATGTTGGGCTCGAACGGTACTTCGTAGCCACAAGTTCAAAGCCAATGTGGGGTTGACAGCAACTCACCCTTCATTCTCACCCACCAATTAATTATCTGACATGGGTCCCACCTCTTTCTAGTGTTTATTGTTGCTAAGCCTAACACTGCCTTTCCTTTCCAACCACAAAGCATACAAACGAATCTCCTTCATCTCTTCTCTCTCCCCACTTTAATTCCAAACTCTTTAACTTGTTTCTCTACTTACCCTTATTCAAAATCCAACCCAATCTCTCTGCACAACTTTACATAACTCACGCGGGTATTTTTAGCTTTTAAATATTATATAAGAAGCTTTTAAAGAGTATGTTTTAATAAGCTTATAAGCAGTTAAATTTTTGGTTAATTTTAACTTATTTCAATACATTAATTATATAAATTATTATTTAAAAAATATTAAATAAACACTTAAGTTAAATAAAATATGTATACAATTAGTAATTAAAATTTGTTACCTCCCACCTTCCCTAAATATACATAATATTTGCCAAGATTTCTCCTGCAACAAACTTTTTGCATTTAGGGGGATTTGGGTTGATCCGTTAACATCTATCTATGCTAGTGAATATATGGAAGACTCAACAAACTGGTTTCAAAAATTTTACTATAAATAGTTGAGCAAAAAACAAAAGAGAAAAACTCTAGACAGCTGTTCACAGTCCACAATTAGAAGGGCAATAGGAGATAAACAAATTCATAATTTTTGTTGCTCCCAGAAGAGCTTTACCAAATAGAAATAAAATTGGGCTTGAGATTTCAGTTCGGCTTGTCTTAAATACCTCTAATATATTGTTCTACATCATTATCACATTATTTCAGAAGTTCGGTGAAATTAAAGCCAACACATTTTGAAAGCTGCCATTTTGGCTAATGCTAATCTTTGAAAGTTGAGAATTCTCCGTCAACAACCTTCATATGTCTTGCTTTTTGTTCCTGCCAATGCTCCATTGCGGAAACATGACTTGTTATCAACGCTTTTGTTCGTGTTAACAATTACTTTGGCCTTATTCTTGTACTCTAACCTTATTCTTGCTTAGTATATATTATTACCAGAAATACAAAAAAAAAAAAAAAACTGAGTCTTCCTAAATATACACCATCAATCAGCGGCATTTATGATGCGTTGGTCATTTAAGGATATACTATTATTTACACAAATAAATTCATCACAGACTACTTTTTTGCATTGAATTTGAGCCATCCATTTTTGGTAACCTTGTTCCTTTTGCCAGGCATCTACTTTGTGCTTTGTAGAAGCAGCACAGTTTTGGTAGAGGCTCAAATTCATCACTCGTTGCCTCGTGCGGAAAAGAATTAAAAGATAAAGACAAACCCGCTGGTGAGAATAACATACGACAACTGAGCAACTCAGAATTTCTTATTATTACAAACAAAACATGATACAATAACAATAAAGTTTTCCTTGGGTCCATTCTTCCCTTACAAATTTGCCATGAGTCCAGACCCCAAAGAGGCTTTTGTATAGCTTTTAACATAAATTAATTAACAATCTTATCTTCTTATCCCCCCTCCTTTCATTTTTTTTTTATGAGCAAACTCTTTTTATATCTTATAAACAAAAAAGAAAGAAAGACAAGGACGTGAACTTAATGTTCTTCGCTTTGTTGTTGTAAAACTGTTGGCAGTTTAGAATGAGAAATTTATCATGTCCATGCTCAAGCTTTCCATCATCACATTCTCCATGAATCCACACTTGGAAGGAGCAGCCTTCTTAAAGCTCTGGCCCCTGGGCTTGAAAGAGCATGAAGAAATAGGAATGATTGGGATATTCTCACAATTGCATAGCTCAATCATGTACCCATCTGGGTCATGGAAGAACACTTGGTCCACCTTGATTCCTCCTTCCTCTACCACAGCTGTGACATACCTCATCCCCCTCTCTTCTAACCTCCTTTTAACAAGTTCAACATCCGTACACTGCCCAAAATCAAAGCATTGCTAGCATGATCCATGTGAACATTTAAGTGGTGCTACAATAATTAGGGTGTGTTGCAATAAACAGTTGCATTAAATGCTCATTCATTAAATTCGAACCACACTACCGTTTGTATTATGAATTTGAAATAAGTTCAAAAAAATCCTATCTTCACAAGATTTGCTGAGAACCATATTAAAATAAGCTAAAAAGAATCACAAATTAGTTTCATAAACTCAAATAAGTTTCTCGTATGTTCTTCCAAATACCCTCTTAAAAGCCTGATTACCTGGAATGAAATATGGTTGTCCTTGGGATTAATAGGCCTTAATTCATTCAAGCAGGTATCAAATTCATCAATGTCTGGATTCTCGATCAAGTGTATTCCAATACCATAATTGTAAAACCTACAAAAATTAAAATGTAACCAAATTAGTATTCTTAATTTGCAACAAGATATCGAATATAGAAAAGAGGCAATGAAGAGAAAATGATGATGTTACCAGGCTCCATTGAACTTGAAAGAAGATGGGCGTTTGATGGGAACAAAGCCCAAGACATCCTCATAAAACCTCATAGACTCCCACACTGATCTGCATAAGAGGGACACATGGTTCAGTGAGAGCAGAGGAAGTGCTTGTGTTTCACAGTTGCCAACTTCCTCAATCTCCATGATCCCCTCTTTTTCTCTCAACAAAGCACCTGCACTCAGCTTAGCTTTCACTTGTGTGATCACTTTTGAACTTTGCAGTGAATGCCATAAGCTAAGTCGCCTCTTATATAAACCATAAATTTGGTAATATTTTGCTTGTCATGTAGGAACCTTCCTGGAAGGTTCTTTTGATCGAGGGAAACACAAGGAAATGCTACACAGCCCTGAGTATCATACTAGATTTGAGCTAGTTTCTCATTCTGTACATGTTTGTTTGTTCCGAGAAAATGTTTGGAATTTGATCTTAAGCTTAGTTATTTAATAATTTGGACTTGGCACCATGATTTTGTATGGTATTAGTGAAGTTCAGCTACTTAGGAGGGTTACCCTACACAAAGGAAAAAGTTAAAATATTGAGAAATTTCTAAGATGCTTCCTTGCAAAATGTGACATTGTTTACCATTTTTTTTTTTCATGTGTATTACTCAAAGATTACTGACTAATATATATCTATTGCGTCTTCGTAGCAACGTAGTTTGCTTTGTTGTGTACGGATCCGCTATTTCCTCTGCATGTTAGTATATCATGTACACTTGCATCAGGACATCAGCAGGTGCAAGTTTTTGGCCTAAATGCGTGTTTTTGTCTTGACGATTAGCATCTTACTATATGTTTTATGTACTTGTTCATGGTTCTACTTGAGATACGCCCACAATTTTATCCTATTTTTTTCACAAATACTTTTAATTTTGCAGCTGATATTCGAGACTAGGAAATAAAAAGGGGTAGTATTTTTCATGTTTACCCGTCAGAATAATCTACACCATTTTTATGTAATTTTCTAAGATAATAAAATAAGGAAAAAAAATCAACCAGTTCTATTATTTGAATAATTTACATCAGCTCCCAGTTTGTGTAAACTTTCATAGAAGTATTTACGGGAGAAAAAAAATTACTTAAAAAATGAATAATTTGTTTTTCATAAATCAAAAATAATTTGTATTTTTCTGTTATTTTTAGAAGTTCTCTAATTTGAATCCTCTAAAATTTTAAAAATAAGTTGTTTCTAATTTATTAAAAAATTATTTATTTATTATGCAGATTTTTTTATAAATATTTTTCTAGAAAAATATCCAAACTGAGTTTAAGTATAATTGTTTATTTATGAATTTTGTTAACTTCAACTCTTAGAATTAAGTTTAAACATCCACAAATAAAAAAAATTTATGAAAAAAATATACAGTTATTGTATTAAAGTTATAAAAATATAATAAATATTTATCTTTCTAATAATTGTTATTAATTGCTTATACTCAGTCTTTTAAAGCTAAGATTAATAAAGCCCTTTATTTATTATATACATAAATAAAGTGCTTTGGTAAACTCAAAAGAAATAATGAAACTCATATTTCACTTATTTTATGAAATAATTTTCTTATTTTAACATAGTTTTATGTATTTATTTTTTTAAAATTTAGGAATTTCGATGTACAAATATTATTGTTAAAAACAAATAGTCTAAGATTCAAAGGTTTTCTTTTTGGTAACTGTAAGAGTTTGCTTTGTCTTTCTAATCTACGTATATTCAAAAAGACTTTTTCTTTTCATGGTCCAAAGAATCACTTGGGCTGAATATGTGTTTCTAGTCTCACTTGTATGGGCTCTCAATGCATTATGTTGGGCTTTATTAAATTCAGGATTTAAATTTATTTGTGAGCCCATTAACAATGACACGTAGCAAATTCTATCCACAATAGTAACCAATTGGAAGCACCCACCTACCTACTCAACCACTGCTACACGTGGACCAGAAAAAAATAAAGGATCAAACCTCTGCCCCATCAAGTCCATATACTGCAACAAATTCGGATTTGTTGACCAAAAAGAAAAACAATTCGTATTTAAACTCTATTCCGTAGTTTTAAAATAATAGAATTATGTGGGTTTGCTCCCATATAGCTAATTATCCAACCACAACTGATTAATTTATAAATGTTTAGTGCGCAACACTATTCATTCTTCAATTAAAAGTTTCTACTTTATCTAATTTTTATAAATATTTAAATGTATTTTATTAAAAATAAATATAATAATAATTTATAAATTAATATTAGTTTTGTATTGATTAATTTATTTTTAAATTTTTAAATTTCAAAGAATTTTATTTTTATATTTTGCTTTTCATTTTTAAATTTTGTTACTAAATTATATTTTAAATATGTTATTTTTTATTTATAATTATTTATATAATGTATGGGACATTTAAGTAATCAAAATATTAAATTATCATTTGTATTCTTAAGAAAATGTAGGCTTATATTTTGATGGTTAGATCTATAATTTTCTCTATATACTTGTTCCTGTTAGGAAAATACGGGTCTTCTAAAAATTCCTTTCTTATGAAGTGAGATGACATCCTTGCAAGTACCTCTGACTTCTCCCTATATGACGTGGGAGTTGTATCTGCAAAAGGCATTTCAATGATAAAATCAAGTGTCAGTTTAGGCAATAAATGCTATTGAATGTTCAAAAGTCAATCATTTACCTATACTTCTTACTTTTCTGTATTTCTTACTTTTCTTTTATAGACAGTATTTTGAGCTAATGGGCTTTATGAATCAACTTCGTAAGCCTTATGTTTAGATACATAATTAATGATTACTTTCCTTAATCTACTCCAATATGTCTAATTTATCTTAACCTAACGGAGTGTTCGTCCTTGCGTCGAGGGGGTACTTAAATTTCTTTTTCTGCTATAATGATCGAGTGGTGTCTTATTTAGTACACTAGCCTCCTAAGCCCGAGGAGGTACGATATAAGGGCATAAAAAGGTTTGTTGACCTTGTCGGTACTTTAGGTGAGACTAGTATGGTCAGCTTTACCGATAAGATGTTCGGTTTTAAAATATGGTGGTGTTCAACCGAATAAGTAGTTAGGTTCTTTTTTTTGGTGTTTAAATCGATTAGGTAATCAGTTTTTTTTTTCTAGTGTTCAGACCGAGTAGGTAATCAATTTCTTTTTTCTGCTATAATGGACGAGTATGTTGTTGGCTTAATACGTTTTAAGTCTCTTCAGAAATTAGGGTTTTCTTGTGGTTCGTGCTCTAAAACGAAAGGTTACGCACTCTGAACCCTTAATCTAAAAAAGATCTTATGGTTGAAAAAGCGTGTGACTCTTCATCTGTCTGAAACCATATGTTCTATAAATATGTGGTGATCCAGGTATCATATGCATTTTCTGCTCTAAACCGAGGGGTATATAGTTCTTATATTGTTAGAAGCTTTTCCTTTCTTCTTCTTGAGAATTTCTTGAAAGTACACTTGTTTTATTTTAACCTTACTTTCTTTTCTTGTTCTTCTTATGACCTATTCCATCGAGTGGAAGGATTCATTGTCGGATATGGCAAGGTTGACTACTACTCTCTTGAGGTTGGGGACCTCGGTGAGACCGAAAGGTTTGAAGAGGTTTCTTCGTGGTCGAATGATGTTGTGAATGAGCCGGATACGACTGCTAGGGAACTTGAAGATAATGTCGAATCGTCTGACGCTTGCCATGATGGTTCTGAGTCAAGCGAGTTGTTACCGAATGCTAGCCTCCAAGAGAAAGGCCTACATTTTCACTTTGTACAATTCTTGGATACAAATGGGTAAATGGTAAAGTGACCGTATATTTTTCGCGCTTTCAACAAAATAAACAACTTCAAGCCTTCGTAGACCATTGTGATATATCACTATGAGAGACTTTGGACCCCTATCTAATAACTATTAATGTTTGTCGAAGGGATGACTCCGATAATCCTAAACTGGTATTTTTAGGAGATGGTGTTGAGATGGTTGACATCTTCTTTGTATATGAGTATATGTTTAAAGAATTAGGTGTAAGGCTTCCTTTTGGCGATTTTCAAATGGGTTTGTTGAGGATTTTAAATGTCGCACCGATACAACTTCATCTGAATGGGTGAGCGACGATGCAAGCATTCAAAATTTTGTGTAAATTTTACCATATAGAGCTTAGTATAGGTTTATTTCTTCATTTTTTCTATACCCGTCCTTCAGACAAAGTGAGATGGGTATCTTTAATAAGGCAAGTCGAACTGTCACTTTTTAAGCTTTACACTTCATCGTTCAAAGGTTTTAAAACTGGTTACTTTAAATTAACAGTGCATCCTATCGGTAGAAAATATTTTTTTAATAGTGAAAACAAACTTCTTTTCCCTTTTCACTGGACTCGGGTACCTCGTCAGTATGACGTATTTTCCAAGGAAATGTTATCGGCTGAAGAATTGTCAGCTTTGGAATGTTTGAAGTCTCTTCTTAGGGAGCTTCCTGTCCGAGCCTTTATACTTTTATTGAAGTCTCCCCAACCTCACTTGGATATGGATGATATGTTTCATGCTTTTGGTGTATAACTTGGACATTAGATTATATTGATTTGACTTCTTATTTTCATTGTAGGTATAATGACTCAAAGGAGACTTGGTATCAACTATCGCCAAGATTTGAAGCAACGAGCTCCTGTAATGGCAAAGTGTTATGTTGTGATAATGATAAAAGTTATCAAGTGACAATATTATTTGAAGATGTTAGGTAGTTATAGTGATAATAAAGGATATTAAATAACAATGATAGTAATAATGTTAAATAACTACAGTGAAAAGTATTAGATAATTACAAGAATAATATAGTAATGAATGATATCAAACAATATCAGGAGAAGTATTGTTGGACTGTTTAGCCCCTTATATTATCCTATTATTTCACAAAACTATATATTAAAATATAACATAATAATTTATTTATTGTATTATTTTTTTCTTGTAAGTTATAAACATTTTATCTATGATATAATGTATAAGAAAATAATTTCAAACCTCTCAATAAGTGATCACCACGGATTTTTTTTAAAACAAAGCATATTTTATGTTTACTATCATATTTTTGTTTTTGTTTTTCAAAAACATAAACCTTACTAGTTAATTTACATTACAAGATCACCTTTAAATGAACTATATACATTTATTAACTTCTCACCGAATTCCTTTTTTTTATAGGGTCTTGAAAAAAGTCCACATGTAATTTAAAAACGATCCATATAGTACAAGAAGTAAAATATCAATAATCAAGCTAATGAAATAATTATTTGAGTTTCTATTATATTAAACTTTTTTTCTTTAAAATTACTGATCATATTTATAAATTGTAAAATGTTAATTTTATATAAGGACCAAAACATTAAATGTGT